GCTTGCCCGCTATCGTTGAAGCTCCACCCAAGAATATAATGGTGACTTGCATAATTAGAACCAGTAGATGCAGAGAAACCAACATACATAGAATCCAAGAAAACTGAAGAAAGATCAATTCTTGTTGACAAAAGAGGCTTTTCTGGTTTCTTGATTATGGACTAGTGTTACATTACTATGCTTCTCCATTTGATTATAGTCTATCCATACTTTTGAATTGGATCCCACAGTTGAGTGCGGATGTTATTTTTGGCTTCAATTTGCAGCAAGTAGGAGGCAGCAGCTGATCTGATAAGATGTCACATGTAACATCAACTCCAAACATATTCATCAACTCCAACATGATTGTCATTGATATCTCCAAATTCCAGGTTCTTTACAGTATCTAATTCAATGGCAAGTAAATGATTGGATGGTAAGCCTATTGTAAAAGCGTTAAAAAGCCCAAGAAATTCAGTTGCTACTGCTCCTTTGAATTGTGTAGATGGTGAGATGATAAAGGCAATGCCATGGCCGCCACCACTTACTCCATTTAAAGTCTCAGGAACCATGGCAAACACAAAGTTGGTAGAAAAAGAGAGAGAATCTGAATTGTTATTGAATTGCAAAGGGAGATGAAAGAAAGCATGACCTATTTGTCGGTGTGAAGTATTTGTTAACTCTAGCAAACCATTAGGAAGGACTTTGGCGATACCATTGAGACTTAGATTGGCTTTGATAAAGCCATCATTGTAGATGAATTGTGTTATCCCTTCTGATAAGGCCAAGAATTTGGAGCAAACAAGAAAAGCTAGCAAAGTTATAAGTGATTTAACCAATTTTGCCATTGAAGAAAAGTAAAAGAAGGAATTATGTTGTTATCTAGTCTGTTTACTTACATCAGGATATCTTAAAGACCAAGAGACCCCAAGCCTCTAATTTTAAACATTATATCTTATTATAAATAATTCTATATAAATCCCCTCAAAAAAAAAAAAAAAAAGATAATTATGTACATATAAAGTTTTACAGTTCAAAATAATTCAATATAAATAAATATTATTTATAAATCAATTATAAACTTACGAATACCCTAAAGGAATCAATTCTCTATATATGAAAGAATAAAAATTATATGCTCGAAGCCTTCAACACAATAGTTATACAGTCTTCATCCTTCCTTCACTGCACATCTATCAAATAGTGGCATGTTACAGGTTAAATGCAATCTCCTTTTGTTTTATTCTCTTTTGTTTACCATATTACTGCATAGCATCAATCAAAATACTAAATTAGCTCAATGAATAGTGTCAAAATGACCAATGTTGTTTGTGGGAATAGCCAATCCTCCCGCTACTTAGGTGCATTAGCTTTTTTACATAAATAGTATACCGTACAAGTCTTAATCCCAACGTTCTCTTTATCAGAATCACATGATGAGTAATCATCATATAAAATAACATACAAATACTCACTAAAAAGCAAAATTCAAATCCCTTTCCCCAATTTTTTAAAAAAAAGAAGAAAAAAACTGAAAAAAGACACTGAATAGAGAAAAAAGATTATTATAAAGAGATTATAAAAAGAAGAAAAAAACTGAAAAAAGACACTGAATAGAGAAAAAAGATTATTATAAAGAGATTATAAAAAACCAAAAAAAAAAATAAATAAATAAAAGGATAGGATAGGGTTGCTCATTTAAACATAACCTTTTAAATTCAAAATATATATTGTTTTGTTGTGGATAATTTGTAAACAAATTAAATCATAGTAAAATAAAATAAAATTTAAAAAAATCTAAATTTATAAAAAAAGATAAATAAGAATTTAAACGCAGAGAGAGAGCATCTTGTACTTATTTTTACTTCAACATTATATATCGTTAATTTATCACTAAATACCGAAAAGAAAATTTTATCGGTAAATGCTAATTTTCTTGTAGTGTTTAAAATTTTATGAAAAAAATTTATATAAAACAATAAATAGGTAATTGAGGAGTTATAATTATAATTTAAAATATTAAAATTGCATTAAAAATTGTAAATGGATTGTGATTTAGGGGACCATAACTTTAGTGTCCTTTTTGGTGATAAAATAATTTGCAAGAATAACATCAAAGCTGAATTTGTGAATAAATTAGGATAATTAACAAGTAGTTTTTTCTTAGGCTGCACAGAAAATACACGCGATAGACTATTGACTTGTGATACAAAGTGGCGTTATTAAATCCGGCTCAGATATTGACCTGGTTAAATAATTAAGTGAATGAGTAATTGGTTTAATCAATGAGTCAATAGTTCAATCGCTGGATCATAAAAATATTAATAATATATATTAATTAAATAATTATAAATTGAAAAATATTAAAAATCAGTGTAGGTCAATCGGGTTTCGCGGATTGGCTAATTCAACCATAGGTTAGCTGATTCATGGGTTCTTCGGTTCTTCGCATTGACCTGTGGAATTTAATAACTATGATACTAAGTACTATCTAGTTATTTATGGTGGACTTTAAATGTGGAGTTTTTGAAACAATCTTTATTCACATAAAGAAGATCAATATGTAGGTGGACATGAATTTTAGGGTGTTTGCTCTATTTCAATCCATTTAATAAGAGTATGAAAGTTATAAATGAATTCAAAATTAGATAAGAAAAGTCAAATTATTTCTCATATCTAATACGGATTAATTAGAGTACAACGTATGTAAGTCTTTGGATATATGTTATCCATCACCGCTATTTAATAAGATTGGTATAGTACTCATTATATATTACCCCATTCATTATAAAATTTTAAATAATTTTGGATTGAATAATTTAAAATTTATGAATATTATTTAGCTTGAATTTTGAATATGAGTATGTACAATAAAATGTTAATGGACTTCAAGATACGAGTATAAAATAGAAAATGAGAGGTATGAATAACCTGATTGGTATGAATAACCTGATGTTGCATATTAGAACTCATTAAAGCCCGACTTGCATCATTATGCTCGATAAAAGGACACTTTCATCCTTAGTTGTACCTTTAAAAAAATGAAAAAAGAAAAAAGCATTAGCTTTTCCAAGCTAATTAGGATATACTCGGCAAAATTAATTTTTTTTGTAACTATTAGTTGTTTTAGTAGCATTTAACTATTAACTGTTAGCTTAACTATTTGAAGAGATTTTTATAAACTAAAAGCTAAATGTTACATAGGTTATATTTTGATTAAAAAATTATTTTAATATTTAAAAACTAATTTAAACGCTATATTACCGAACACTATGATAAATAGATATAATCTTAAAAGTTATATAAAAAGATATTGCCAAACCAGTTTAGTCTTAGCTTTTTTCCCACGCTACAAATACACACTCACGTGTAGACTCTTGACTTGTGATCAATGGCGATGGGAGGATACCCGGGTTGGCTAACAATTTTTTTTAAGATTTATACCTAGAAAATAGTGAAAATTTTTAATTTTACTCTTAAATTATATATTTTTTAATTTTTTATTGTTTTGCCCCTCACCGTTAACTCCTTCTCATGATTGTACGTCAATGAAAAGAACAAGAAAAAGCATTAGCTTCTTAAGCTAATGTGTCAACGTTTTCCACACGCTGCGCGGGAAATATACGCTCTTATAGACCATTGAGTTATGAAAACTGAGTACTGTATGTCTAGCTATTTAAGCTATTTACGGTGGACTTAACTGTGGAGTTTTTGAAATAAATTTCTTATCCTCGCTTTTAGATTAGAATAATATTTAAATAAAACCTTTGCAACAGTGATAATTTTAGATTTTAAATCACTTGATCTTATAAATAAAATTCGTATAGAAATGAAATTTATTTCTATTAATCCAACCATTTATTGTTAAATATGAAATATTTTAAAAATGAGAAATAACGAATTTGATGGTTTAAACCATTGATTGTTTTATTTATTATAATATACAAATTTAATAATAAAAAGTCTGAATTTTGATATTTTTTTAATTTTAGCAAATATTTTTAATTTTGTCCGTCAATAGATTCCACATCGAAAATTATGAAAAAATAAAAATGTGAATGATAAAAAGAAATTGTGTTTGGTAAAATGAAATATAAGTTCAATTTTTTATCCAAGTTTTGAATTAAACCAATGAATTTAAAATTTAAGAATTAATATTTAGTGAAAGTATATAATTTTACAATATAAAACATACATAAACACATTCATTTTAAGAATTAAAATTATTAAAATTTAATAACTTTTTTTCCACTCTCTAACATAAAAACCACAACTTCCCATTTTATCATCCACCATTCACAAGCTATATATATATATATATATATATAATATTTCGAGCTTGTATGGAGACCAAATTGACAAATATAGTAAATTCCAAGGTATCAATGTATAAAATTTAAAATATCGCCAAAATTGAAAACAAACATTAAAGTTCTAAGTTTTTTTTATGATTCAACCTTTATTATATGATAATGTGGCTCTATATTGGAGGACGTGTATGATCCCACTAACATTGTCACATTAGTGAGCTTCTAACCAATTCCTCCATGCGCCATAACTTTAATTTAAATATTTCAGGATTACGAAATTAATAAAGTTTAAAAAAATTTTACTTAAATATTTTTTTATAAATCAAGTAAATTGCAGCTAACGAAATCCTTTTCTCTCTCTCTCTCTCTCTTCTCGGTGTGTAAGTAAGTTTCAAAATCCCTGAATTTCGTCTAATTTTTCATGCGAATGTCATGCCAATTACAAAGAGATGGCTAACACGCAAGGTCACTGAATTCTTTCACCGGAAAAGGGCTGTTCAAAAAATTTTTCCCTGATTTCCAGCAGTTAGCCAAATGCATACTCTTCCGTTCCATTAATACTTGTCACATTTGAGAAAATAGCTTTTTTCCAAAATACTGTTGTATTTGGTTTCAATGAGTAATAAATATTTTTTTTCATTATTTTTGGTATATTGATCAATAATTTTTCTTTTTCCAAGCATTTTTTGCCAAATGTAAGAACAAGAAGAATTGATCGACAAATGGGAATTGATGATTTATATACAATCAGAAAACAGAAGTTGATTTCTTCAACAATACATGCATATTGATCATCTGAATTAACTTTCCACTATTAATAAAATAAAATTATCCATAAATTACATGGCAAATTTCTAGCTACATAAGTATATTTTCCCCTTTGCTTTCTTACTGCTCTGGCTGCTCATCACTATCAGTAGTCTCAATGAGGCCAAACATTCTGTTCAAACATGTAGGCAAAAAAGTTAACAGAACCCCATAAATAGTGGGAAAACAAAAATTTAAGAAATAATCTTCGAATATGTAAGTCAAAAACAATGCTTTTACCTCATTAATTACAAAATATTCAACAGCCACTGATGAGAACTGAATCTATATCAGACAAGGAATAGGAAGCACCATCATTTGTAGATGTTACGAAAGAAATTGAAGCTGTAGATGCTGTGTAGCTACGTGAAACTAAATCTATATCAGGAAATGTAGCATTTCCATCCAATTGCTGTAAAACTTGCCTCATTGTAGGTCTGGCTGCTGGTGAATAATGTGTACAAACCAAAGCAAGTTTTAGAACCATCTCCATTTCTTCAACCACATAGTTATTTTCCAATCTTGGATCAACAGTCTCAAGAATAACCTCTCTTTTCCAACTATCCAGTACCCAATCGATCAAAACTACCTCGTTGGCCGGTCTTTCTGGCTCTACTGGTCTCCTTCCACAAGCTACTTCAAGCATAAAAATCCCAAATGCATAAACATCACTACTAGTAGTAGGTTTGCCAGTTGTTGTGAGCTCTGGTGCTAAATATCCCACAGTTCCTACTAAACGAGTTGTTTGAGGATTTGATCCGTGATCGTAAAACTTAGTAAGTCCAAAATCCCCTAATCTTCCATTAAATTCAGAATCTAATAAAACATTACTTGCTTTAACATCTCTATGTAAAACTACTTGTTCCCATTCTTCATGGAGGTAAACAAGAGCAGATGCTACGCCTTTTATGATTCGATATCGATGAAGCCAATCAAGACTTGGTTTTTCATCGCTGAATAAGAACTTATCGAGACTCCCATTAGGCATATAATCATAAACCAATAAAAGCTCTTGTTTTCGCCGGCAATAGCCTAAAAGTCTAACCAAATTCCTATGCCTAAGCCTTCCTGTGCTAGCAATTTCAGCTACAAATTCTTTCATGCCTTGTTTAGAATCATGCGAAACTTTCTTGACTGCAACTTCTATATTATTTGTAGGTAATACTCCTTTATAAACCTTTCCAAAACCTCCACAGCCAAGAAGCTCCTTGTTTTTAAAACCTTTTGTAGCTCTATAGAGGTCCTTATAGGAAAATCTCTGGGGACCATATTGTTGTTCCCAATCTTCACGAATTTCACCATATCTCTTCTTCCTTATTATAAAGATAGTTGCTAACATAGCTACAATAAACAGCATAATTAGCGTCACCAACGGAACCACAATGCTTAATTTTAATTTACCCTTAGGAAGCTTAGGAAGCTTAGGAAGCTTTGAAAGATCAAGACTTTGTGCTTGCCCACTGTTGTTGAAGCTCCATCCAAGAATGTAATGGTGACTCGCAACAGAACCAGTAGATGCAGAGAAACCAACATACATAGAATCCAAGAAAACTGAAGAAAGATCGATTCTTGTAGACAAAAGAGGCTTTTCTGGTTTCTTGATTGGTGTTGGAGCAAGTGTTACATTCAGTAGCTTCTCCATTTGACCATATTCTATCCACACTTGAATTTGATCCCCACTTTTAAGTTTCAAGCTTTGGTTTTTTGCTTCATTTTGCGAAAAGTAGGAGGCAGGAGCTGATTCATTAGACTTTAGATCATTTAAATCTACTCCAACTTGATTTCCATCGATTTCTTGAAATTCAGCATTCCTTACAGTATCAAATTCCACGGCAAGTAAATGATTGGAAGGCAAGCCTATTGTAGTAGAGTTAAAAAGTCCAAGATATTGAGTTGCGGTTGCTCCTTTAAACACTACTGATGGTGAGATAGCGAAGGCAAAGCCATGGCCATCGTTATCATGCGACGCTGGTACTATAGCAAACACAAAAGTCGTAGAGAATGATAGAGATGAAGAAGAATTTTTAGACGCAGATTTGTTGAAATGAAATGGAAATGGAAAAAAAGCATGACCTATCTGTTGGTGGGAAGTGTTTGTTAGCTCTAACAGACCACTTGGATGGATTTTTGCTGCCCCATTTAGACTTAGATTTGCGTCTCTGAAGCCATTGTAGATGAAATGGGTTGCTTCTTGAGCTAAGGAAGAAGACTGTTCTGTGCATACAAAAAGAGCTAGCAAAATCTGAAGTGATTTAACCAATTTGGCCATTGAAGAAAAGAAAACGGAGAAGGAATGATGTTGCTACGTGCCTTAATTAATAACGGTCCATATAAATGGGAATGGCTATTGTTTGAACGAGTCAGTTAAAAGTGTAATAAACTATCAATATGACAAGATAAATAATTCTTTAGACAATTTTCTAAACAAGTCTAAGGTGATTAGTGAATGAATATAGAGGATGAATAGGCACATCTATCATTTCTGAAAACAATTTTAGAACAAATCCACTGAAACAAAAATCAATTATTTAGCTAGAAAGTGCAACTTGTTTTTAATAAAGAAAAAGTATTGAGTTGGAAAAAGCTCAAAGATGAGGTGCTCAAAGTTGGGGCTTGGTAAGTGGAAATGTGACAAAAAGATACTAATGAGAGAGATGGGTTGTGACACACTCTGCACCTTCACATAAAGGAGTCGAACCCTGAAACAAAATGGCCCGATATGGTGAACACTCAATAGTTGGGAGAGAGACAGAGATGAAGTAGAAATGTTGAGGATCTAATGGCTTGGATTTCAGAAACAGATGAGAGTGTGCAAAATGTGAATGCGTAGTCCAAAGAGCCGATGGGTGGATCATGAATGCTCATGTTTCTCTTTGGAAGGACAATGATTCAATTATTTGATGAATCTCCATAGATAATGTATATATCTTTGTATTTAGTGCTTTCTTTTTTCAAATCTTCCCCTTTTCCCCTTTCTATAACATGAGATACATATAAAACTCTAATATGAGGAGAGAATATTTGGTTAATTTTTTAAATATGAGTGATGTGAAAGCACTTATATTTAAATTCTTTCAACCAACAAAGCTTTTATCAATTTGATAAATTAAAGTAAAAGCACTTATGTGAAAGCACTGATACTGTCTCTACATATGATCCTGTCTCCAGAGATGATGTTGATCCAGTCGGAGATATACGTCTTTTTGATGCTCAGCCGATTGAGGATCAGTCACAGGATCTTTAGATCTTTGTATTAAGCTATAGTAAAACATAATATTTTGCTTTCATAAAACAAAACACAGTATTAAACATAATACTATTTTCATACATTTGAGACTTACATTTGTTTGTATTTAATGTTATGACTCATGTTTGTTTATGTTTAATATTATGTAAACATGAGCTTATTTACATACTTACTTGTCTACAATTTGAATGTATTTTTACAGGTAATTTGAAACAGGTTGTTTATTTGAAAAAACAAAAAAAAAAAAAAATTAAATTTCAGCAAATTTTACCTGACGGAAACATAATTTTGAAAATAATAATTAAATATTTTACAGATGATATACTGACCTTTATCAATCCAATTATCGACGAAATATCGACCTTTATCGACTTACCAACCATTTACCCAACAAAATATTAAAAGATTAACCACCAAATTACCGACACATTTTTTTTTTATAACAAATTTTTTACCAACAAGGTAATTGCTGACCATATATTTTTGTCGGCATTCCGTCAGTAATTTAAATTACCCATCAAATTATTCATTTTACCGATGGATAATAACCTAAATTTTTGTAGTGAATTTCTAATCTTATAAGTAAAATTCACTTGGAAATATAGTTCATTTTCGCTAATCTAATGGCATGTTGATAAGTTTTAATTAATCATTAGTTGTCTTTAAATAAAGTAACATTCAAATGTAGAAACTGCTCATTTGATATGAATCAGTTAACACAAGTAGTAAAGAAAAGAGGAAATTATATTTGTGGGATCTTTAATTTTTTTATTTTAATATTTCATGAAAAGAAATTGTAATTTAGTGTTTGAACTTATAATTTTTGTACAAATAAATACATTGAATCGGAATTTTTCATTGAAAAATCAAAATGAACATTTTACCTCGTTGTTTTACTTTATTTATTTCTTTAAATTTTTACTTTTCTTCTTATTAGAAAAGTAAAAATTAAACGGACTTTTCAAAAATTTTTTATTAGAAAAAAAGATATAAGACAATAAAAAGTTAAAAACATAGAAAAATAGAGAATAACTGAATAAATATTCATATTTGATATTATTTATTGCGAAAAAATAGTTAATTTTAATTTCTCTTTTAAAAAATCCGTTAAACTGTATTTAATTATAATTTTTTAATAGTTTAGATATTTAATTATAAATTTTTTCCGTTTAGATTCTAAAAAAAAAAAAAAAAAAAAAAAAAGAAAAAGACAAAATTATCTTTTATAAGTTTTCATTATTTCGTCTCTGAGGTTTGCCATAATTATTTAAGTAGTCCCTGACATTTATATAAATATTTATATAACATCTCGTGAGTTGCACATCTGTAATATATTTGATCCTTTCGTCCAAAAAACACACTTTTTTACTGTTAATTTTTAATTTAATAGAATGACCAAACTACCCTAAATCTTCTAATTAACATATCCTCCATTTCAACTACCCTAAGTCCTCTAATTTTACCCAAAATTTAGAAATTTTAATCTAAATTTTGGGTAAATTTCTAAATTTCTAATCTACTTGTCTTTATATATATATATTTTTTTATTTAAATTAAGATTTATAGTCTTTGAATATGAACGAAAGAATTCTAAAAAAAAAAAAAATACTGATTTGGGAAAAAAAAAGGGGGTAAAGCAATTTTTAGTGAAGAAAAAGCAAAACACTGTTGAGGGGAAAAAAGTAATACAATTCTTAATTGGGGAAGAAAAATCATGTTATCGTTACGGAATGCATGGTAATAAAATATTTAATTTTGAGTCAATTAAATATGGCTTATTAGTCTTTCTACTTTAGAAAAGACGGCTAACATATATAGGTTCATTGTATGGTTCACAAAATAAAATACTCTTAAAATTTAAATTTTAGTTAGCACCATTTCCACTAAAATTGAGTTCAAAGTGGTTAATTATTCTTTTCTTTTTCCAAGCATTTTTTGCCAAATGTAAGAACAAGAAGAATTGATCGACAAATGGGAATTGATGATTTATATACAATCAGAAAACAGAAGTTGATTTCTTCAATAATACATGCATATTGATCATCTGAATTAACTTTCCACTATTAATAAAATAAAATTATCCGTAAATTACATGGCAAATTTCTAGCTACATAATTATATTTTCCCCTTTGCTTTCTTACTGCTCTGGCTGCTCATCACCATCAGTATGCGAAATTTTGAAGAACGACAAATATGAAGAACGACAAATATGAGAAATTTTGATGGGTGATCGAAAATGATATTGCTATATTTCTTTGTTTGATACCAAAATTCATCAACTACTTTTCTTTCACTGTCATCCAGTTTCAAGCAATACTGGCTTATCCTATGTAGTCATTTTCCCATTCAAAGCATAAATAATAGAATAACCAGTAGTAAAAATTTTGGGAATCCTTTGACTTGACCAAATTTAGAAAAGAAATTATATTACTGGTGATATATATTAAATCATGGTGCAAATTGGTCAATAGTGCAGAAAATAAACCTGTTAGAGTGACTCAAATTAGTATTCTGCTGTCCTGATTCCTCTTGCTTTATAGTGTTTGTAATATAATTTGGACAGTCTTATTTATGTTTTTTTGTATAAACCACATAGTTATTTTCCAATCTTGGATCAACAGTCTCAAGAATAACCTCTCTTTTCCAACTATCCAGTACCCAATCGATCAAAACTACCTCGTTGGCCGGTCTTTCTGGCTCTACTGGTCTCCTTCCACAAGCTACTTCAAGCATAAAAATCCCAAATGCATAAACATCACTACTAGTAGTAGGTTTGCCAGTTGTTGTGAGCTCTGGTGCTAAATATCCCACAGTTCCTACTAAACGAGTTGTTTGAGGATTTGATCCGTGATCGTAAAACTTAGTAAGTCCAAAATCCCCTAATCTTCCATTAAATTCAGAATCTAATAAAACATTACTTGCTTTAACATCTCTATGTAAAACTACTTGTTCCCATTCTTCATGGAGGTAAACAAGAGCAGATGCTACGCCTTTTATGATTCGATATCGATGAAGCCAATCAAGACTTGGTTTTTCATCGCTGAATAAGAACTTATCGAGACTCCCATTAGGCATATAATCATAAACCAATAAAAGCTCTTGTTTTCGCCGGCAATAGCCTAAAAGTCTAACCAAATTCCTATGCCTAAGCCTTCCTGTGCTAGCAATTTCAGCTACAAATTCTTTCATGCCTTGTTTAGAATCATGCGAAACTTTCTTGACTGCAACTTCTATATTATTTGTAGGTAATACTCCTTTATAAACCTTTCCAAAACCTCCACAGCCAAGAAGCTCCTTGTTTTTAAAACCTTTTGTAGCTCTATAGAGGTCCTTATAGGAAAATCTCTGGGGACCATATTGTTGTTCCCAATCTTCACGAATTTCACCATATCTCTTCTTCCTTATTATAAAGATAGTTGCTAACATAGCTACAATAAACAGCATAATTAGCGTCACCAACGGAACCACAATGCTTAATTTTAATTTACCCTTAGGAAGCTTAGGAAGCTTAGGAAGCTTTGAAAGATCAAGACTTTGTGCTTGCCCACTGTTGTTGAAGCTCCATCCAAGAATGTAATGGTGACTCGCAACAGAACCAGTAGATGCAGAGAAACCAACATACATAGAATCCAAGAAAACTGAAGAAAGATCGATTCTTGTAGACAAAAGAGGCTTTTCTGGTTTCTTGATTGGTGTTGGAGCAAGTGTTACATTCAGTAGCTTCTCCATTTGACCATATTCTATCCACACTTGAATTTGATCCCCACTTTTAAGTTTCAAGCTTTGGTTTTTTGCTTCATTTTGCGAAAAGTAGGAGGCAGGAGCTGATTCATTAGACTTTAGATCATTTAAATCTACTCCAACTTGATTTCCATCGATTTCTTGAAATTCAGCATTCCTTACAGTATCAAATTCCACGGCAAGTAAATGATTGGAAGGCAAGCCTATTGTAGTAGAGTTAAAAAGTCCAAGATATTGAGTTGCGGTTGCTCCTTTAAACACTACTGATGGTGAGATAGCGAAGGCAAAGCCATGGCCATCGTTATCATGCGACGCTGGTACTATAGCAAACACAAAAGTCGTAGAGAATGATAGAGATGAAGAAGAATTTTTAGACGCAGATTTGTTGAAATGAAATGGAAATGGAAAAAAAGCATGACCTATCTGTTGGTGGGAAGTGTTTGTTAGCTCTAACAGACCACTTGGATGGATTTTTGCTGCCCCATTTAGACTTAGATTTGCGTCTCTGAAGCCATTGTAGATGAAATGGGTTGCTTCTTGAGCTAAGGAAGAAGACTGTTCTGTGCATACAAAAAGAGCTAGCAAAATCTGAAGTGATTTAACCAATTTGGCCATTGAAGAAAAGAAAACGGAGAAGGAATGATGTTGCTACGTGCCTTAATTAATAACGGTCCATATAAATGGGAATGGCTATTGTTTGAACGAGTCAGTTAAAAGTGTAATAAACTATCAATATGACAAGATAAATAATTCTTTAGACAATTTTCTAAACAAGTCTAAGGTGATTAGTGAATGAATATAGAGGATGAATAGGCACATCTATCATTTCTGAAAACAATTTTAGAACAAATCCACTGAAACAAAAATCAATTATTTAGCTAGAAAGTGCAACTTGTTTTTAATAAAGAAAAAGTATTGAGTTGGAAAAAGCTCAAAGATGAGGTGCTCAAAGTTGGGGCTTGGTAAGTGGAAATGTGACAAAAAGATACTAATGAGAGAGATGGGTTGTGACACACTCTGCACCTTCACATAAAGGAGTCGAACCCTGAAACAAAATGGCCCGATATGGTGAACACTCAATAGTTGGGAGAGAGACAGAGATGAAGTAGAAATGTTGAGGATCTAATGGCTTGGATTTCAGAAACAGATGAGAGTGTGCAAAATGTGAATGCGTAGTCCAAAGAGCCGATGGGTGGATCATGAATGCTCATGTTTCTCTTTGGAAGGACAATGATTCAATTATTTGATGAATCTCCATAGATAATGTATATATCTTTGTATTTAGTGCTTTCTTTTTTCAAATCTTCCCCTTTTCCCCTTTCTATAACATGAGATACATATAAAACTCTAATATGAGGAGAGAATATTTGGTTAATTTTTTAAATATGAGTGATGTGAAAGCACTTATATTTAAATTCTTTCAACCAACAAAGCTTTTATCAATTTGATAAATTAAAGTAAAAGCACTTATGTGAAAGCACTGATACTGTCTCTACATATGATCCTGTCTCCAGAGATGATGTTGATCCAGTCGGAGATATACGTCTTTTTGATGCTCAGCCGATTGAGGATCAGTCACAGGATCTTTAGATCTTTGTATTAAGCTATAGTAAAACATAATATTTTGCTTTCATAAAACAAAACACAGTATTAAACATAATACTATTTTCATACATTTGAGACTTACATTTGTTTGTATTTAATGTTATGACTCATGTTTGTTTATGTTTAATATTATGTAAACATGAGCTTATTTACATACTTACTTGTCTACAATTTGAATGTATTTTTACAGGTAATTTGAAACAGGTTGTTTATTTGAAAAAACAAAAAAAAAAAAAAATTAAATTTCAGCAAATTTTACCTGACGGAAACATAATTTTGAAAATAATAATTAAATATTTTACAGATGATATACTGACCTTTATCAATCCAATTATCGACGAAATATCGACCTTTATCGACTTACCAACCATTTACCCAACAAAATATTAAAAGATTAACCACCAAATTACCGACACATTTTTTTTTTATAACAAATTTTTTACCAACAAGGTAATTGCTGACCATATATTTTTGTCGGCATTCCGTCAGTAATTTAAATTACCCATCAAATTATTCATTTTACCGATGGATAATAACCTAAATTTTTGTAGTGAATTTCTAATCTTATAAGTAAAATTCACTTGGAAATATAGTTCATTTTCGCTAATCTAATGGCATGTTGATAAGTTTTAATTAATCATTAGTTGTCTTTAAATAAAGTAACATTCAAATGTAGAAACTGCTCATTTGATATGAATCAGTTAACACAAGTAGTAAAGAAAAGAGGAAATTATATTTGTGGGATCTTTAATTTTTTTATTTTAATATTTCATGAAAAGAAATTGTAATTTAGTGTTTGAACTTATAATTTTTGTACAAATAAATACATTGAATCGGAATTTTTCATTGAAAAATCAAAATGAACATTTTACCTCGTTGTTTTACTTTATTTATTTCTTTAAATTTTTACTTTTCTTCTTATTAGAAAAGTAAAAATTAAACGGACTTTTCAAAAATTTTTTATTAGAAAAAAAGATATAAGACAATAAAAAGTTAAAAACATAGAAAAATAGAGAATAACTGAATAAATATTCATATTTGATATTATTTATTGCGAAAAAATAGTTAATTTTAATTTCTCTTTTAAAAAATCCGTTAAACTGTATTTAATTATAATTTTTTAATAGTTTAGATATTTAATTATAAATTTTTTCCGTTTAGATTCTAAAAAAAAAAAAAAAAAAAAAAAAAAAAAAAAAAAAAAAAAAAAAAAAAATTAAAGGAAAAAAAAAAAAAAAAAAAAAAATTAAAGGTTAATTAACCCTAAAGAAAATACTATTTGAATCAAATTGATGCAATGAAATGAAGACGTGCATTATTATAAATTAAAAAGAGTAATTTCCAAGATTTTATTTGTAGATTAAAAAGAGATGAACAAAATTTTAGTGGATTTTAAAGAAAATATTGCAAAAAGTACAAAATACTTCAATTTTGCAAGTGAACAGTTGTTAATTAAATTTGTTCATTTTTTCGAAAAAAAAAAAATGTTCATTAATCTTTTTTTTTTTTCCGGTTAGATCCGAAATTTGATAGCAAAAGGAAATTTCGCCCTCTGTTACTTTCTTCCGCCTAATTCGCCAAACTGGATGTTGTTTTGATTTGCATGAAGTTTTCTTTAGTTCTTCTGCATGATTAACATGTTAATTTATTCTTTTCAGCTTACACGTGTATCTACATGGTTTCCAAATTTACAGCCCGAAATGTTTTCCATATTTAATTAAACAATAAAAATGTTTGCTCATGCTGACCTTGAAACAACGATAAGTTTTGCTTGTTGAATTACTGCAATACCCCTTCTTGAATTTAGGTGAAAAATGGTGCACTATAAGAGAAAAAAATACAATGATTTTGTATTGATTAAAAATAGTAAACTTACAACCTTTGTTAATTAATGAAGTTACCTTAACACCAAACTACTTAACATTCTTATGTAAGAAATAAGTAAAAGATATATATACTGGCAATTATAATAATTTATAAATGTTTATTAATGAATAAAATATTATTGGCTAGTAATATAGTTTTATTCATAAGTAAAATTTTAATAAAATTACCGTATATTAAATTATAATACCTTAATAAATTGATTTTTTTTTTTTTAAGAAAACAGAAAACAGTTTATTTTCAAACCACTATTTATGGTTTCATAAATAAACTATTATAAAACCATAAATAAACTATTATTAATACAACAGAAAACACAATTCTGTAAACCACTATTTATAGTTTTATAAAATTTATTTTTTATTTTCAAAACAGTTTCTCAAAAGCAAAGGAAAAAAAAAAACGTAAACAAGTTTAAACAAACAAGTTTTATTTATTTTTTAAAGAAAAAAACGAAAAACAAGAAATTTAATAGAAAACAAACAGCACCAAAATTTTTCAACAAAAAAAAAAAAAACCTGCTTAAACTGAGTTCACGGACCTGCTCATATACCAAACCAATGAAAATTACCTTTTTTTTTTTATTAAAAGGAAGGTACTTCTGATCATAAACTCGAAAAAATGATAATGTGAAAACAATATTTTAAAAAACTTTGTATTCATTGGTTTGATCCATGAATGGACCCATGAATTTAGTCTAGGCAAATTTAATCTCCTAAGAATAACAGACACAATTTGGTACTATTTTATTTTTTTTTCTCTCAGTGAATTATCAAAGATAATCTTGTTTGGACTAAAAAATTTTATTTACTTAGTTTAATATATGGATGGGCTTATACATCAGAAGCGTGTGAGTCATTCCTATGTATTCATTCTTTATTTTAACTAATAGGAAGAAGATTGTTATATAGTTGCTTGAAAGAGCACTATAGCTAGCAATTTTTTTTTTTTTTATCTTTATGGCCCGAGTGTGGAGATACATGCATATAAAGAAAACACCCTTCATTGTGATATATTTTACTATCTATTGTCAGAGAAAGTCACAATGCAAAGGCCGAAGAGTATAAAATCTCACGTCTCTAAATAAATTAATTAACGGCAGCCCAACTGGTCAAGATTTAGGGGCTAATAGATCAGGCACGCAAGTCTCCATTTCTTAATTATGATTATTATTATTATTATTGTAGCAAATAACTAATTGATTATAAACATCAGTAAAAACTCGTGTGAAGTGGGGTTTTCATGGTGATGTCACTCTTCTTTTATGATCATATAGAAGGCTGACCTAGGTCAGCTTTTGGCTTAAATTAATCTTTCAATGAGATTATTCAAAATTAAAATTGAAGACAAATACGAGACTAGCTTGTTTATGGAGAATTCTACGAACATTTTCATCATAAGACTCGTTAGAGGTTTACAAACCATTATGCAAATGATTATACTCTGACTATATACTGGAAAAAAAAAATGTAGGAAAAATTTTTAAAAAATTCATATTTTGGTAAGTTTAGTCCATATATAGGTGAAACCATAAATTTGGTTTGGACAACTATAATACATAAATACAAATTGAACTCAACATATGTGCTTAAATTATAGGAAAAATTATAACACGATCCTTGTGGTTTGTGAAATACAACTAATTCGTCTCTGTCTTTTTTAAAATATACTAATTTGTCCTTATATTTTGCTTACGTTCCATTATTAGGTCCTTCCATTCAACTTTTGCATTTTTTCCATTAAGTCAACAAAAAAAAAAAAAAAAAAAAAAAAAAAAAACACAGATGTCGAAGGAAAGAAAAAAAAAAAAAAAAAAAACACAGATGTCGAAGGAAAGAAACTAAAATATTATACCAAAAAAAATTACAATGCAGTTACTATGGTTTGAGAAATACAACTAGTACATCCCTATGTTTTAAAAAATAAAAAGGATATTGTCATGTCATAAGGTACTTAACAGAAAATATGCAAAAATTGGACGGAAGAATCTTATAGTTTGACGAAAGTAAACTATAAGGAAATTTTAATATGTTTCCTAAAAGACAAAGACGAACTCGTTGTATTTCACAAATCACGTGAATTGTACTGTAATGTTTCCTAAATTATATTTACTTAATTAATAATTCCACAGGTTAAAAGTTCTTACACCAAACTAGTTCGAGGATAGCTGCATCCGGCCAACTATGTCAAAGTGAATGTTATTTCATTTGCATAAATTCCATAGGAGATCTCCTAGATTCTTCTAGATGTTAATAATATGTTCTTTTACTCAGGGACGAAGCTACAATGTAAATAGAAGGGGGACAAATTATATAACACCCAAGTGAAGGGGGCAAAATGGTTGGAGTACTTTGGAAAAGGTGAAAAAACTAGGGTTGAACTGTGAAAATGTAAACTTTTTTTTTTTTTTCTCCTAAGAGGATGGGGCAATTGACCCCCTCTTCCAATGAGTAGCTTCATCCCTGCTTCTACTTCTCTACTTCTTTTCCTTTAAATATCTCCATTCAAATCTCATAAGATTTATTTCATCTTATATTATCGAATCATAGCTTTTTCAGTTATAGTCCCATTCGTTTTCTCACTTATCTTAATTCAAATCTTATAAGATTCGTTCCATACCATCTCATTGAATCATAACTTCTTCTACTATAGTCTTATTCGTCTTCTCGTTTTCTTAAAAAAGTGATAAGTTAAAGGTATTATATTCGAGTTCTTTCGATTGTCAATTTAGCAAGCCAACAGGAATGTTGTTATTGACCCATTAAGGAATGTTGTTATTGACCCATTAAGCCTTCTTTTAAATTTAAAAAATTACAGCTTTTTTATTTGTGAAACAAAATCACTAAACTTTAGTTTGAGATTAGTAGAATCACTATTTTCCAAAATTGTGCCATAAGACATTAGATCAAAGTTCTTTTTTTTTTTTTTTTTTTTTTTTTTTTTTTTTTTGTTTTTAATTGTGGTCAATCAAATAACTGAAAATAAAAAATTCAATGAAATTCAATAAAATTGATGAAATTCATTTGTAATAAATGGAAGGTTAATAGCTACTCTACACTTTAACCTAATTACAAAAATTTAATTTTTTTTTTTCTAATTTTATAAACTAAACCTCGGTATTTTTGTTCTCCAAATTTTTTAAAATGTAATTACACCTTAGTTTGTAAATTACTCTATTACAAAAGATTAATATCTTATACTTTTTATTGATGATGGTAGAATGACTAAAATTATTACTTTTTAAAAAATATGAATTAATTTAAAGTTTTCATTAAGGAAAATTCAATATTTGCTTAGCGTAAAAAAAGGATTTAAAATTTTTTAATTAATCTAATATCTGATCATATTAGAACAACAACAATAATATTTATTTATAATATATTTATATGACTATTAATAATTAACTAAAATGGAATCTAAAGAAAAATTAATATTGGTTAATAATTTGTATACTGATTATTAGGCTTGATGATGAATAATTACTGAATAATCATATTATTACATTTTGAAGAGAATTGAAGTTGGACAATTTAGATGGAATATAATAATAGTAACACCCATAATTAACATCAGGACCTTTTTATTTTCAGCCTCAATTGTATTGGACCGACCTTCTAAAGTAAGGATTTGTATGAAATAAATATTCTCATGACTTTGACAATGATCCATCTCTTTGGTAAATTAAGGAGCCCTTTGTTATTTTTTTTTTTTTCCAGTTCTCTATCCACTCACTTGCTTTTAATAAAAAAAAATTTTTGAGACCTCAACTTTTATAATAATTCATTTATTATCATATATATATATGTTCATGTTAATTATTATTCACGTTTTTTTTTTTATGCTTCTAAGTGGATATATACTTTCGTATTTGACTTAAATAATGTTACCAATTCAGTCAAAACAAAAAATAATGTTACCAAAGTTCATTGTATCATCTGTTAATTATCTTAACACTCTTTACATTTTGCATTAATATATTTAATTTACAATCATGTTGATTCCATTGATTCATTGCATTGTGATTGCTTTATTACTTGGTCTTTGCATTATAATTATCAAATATACTAGGATAGACCTCCGTATTCAAAATTATATTATTTAATCTTTGCATTATAATTCTGTTAAATAATTGTGGAATATAAAAAACACCCTTAAAGTTAATTACTATATAAAAACTATATAGTGTAAAAGTTATGAAAATTGAGGTTCTTATCGGTGTATTTTACCAAACTATAAGGACTATATAGTAATTATTTTTAGAGGTACTTTTGATATTTCACCGTTACTTAACGAAAAAACGAATAGTTAGATCTTATAGTGTAACAAAATTATAATGCAAGGACTATAAAGTGTAACTTTGAAAGTCGAGAACTTTACTAGCATATTTAAGCAAAACCTAGGGATTATATAGTAATTACCCCATATTTTTTATTTGTCAGCTTAATCCTTGAACAAAACCATTCCAAACAATAATTACATTTCCAAATATAATTTTTCATTCTATAAATTCTCAGCAGAAGCTGTTAATCTTGTTCCTTGGAAACTTCCATTTCCAAATTATGAAAATGGGAGACTGAATATCATAATTGATTAATAGGTTGCATTTTTTTATCTTTGAAACTTTTGCATAATGCATATTTTCTTTCAAACCAAAAGCATATTATTAGAACAAGAATGTGACTAAACATGAATTATGACAAATGAAAAACAATCTTGGTAAACCGTTTATCATCAATACATATGAGTTTTTATTAGCCTTTGACTTCATCTTTCAGTTGGCTTGAAGTATTCTTCCATTGGACTCTTCCTCAACAACTGCAATTGCAACAAATTAAAGATTTAGTGTCATGAATTATAACTGTTAATTAATCAAAATCTCGGTACCTATTCGGCAAAATTAGTTATTTTGATAGCTATAGATTGATTTAGTAGCATGTTTTGTCCATTGAAATGCTAAAAAGTTATTTAAAAAGTTATTGCCGAACGCATACGTGGAGTTAGATACCTTCGTGAACATTAGTTGAGATGGGAATATGAGATGATGAGTTATGAGAAGAATGACAAGCTACAGGTTTAGAAGATTCATCACTCCTAAGCAAAGAAGTTACAGCCTCTTTCACCTTCACCACAACGCTAACATCATTAGGAGTTTTTCTTGGACTCATTACTTCAGATATAACTTGAGAAAGAGCTTTCTCATCCTCTCCAGGCTCCAACTTATTCATTAAATACTCTTTCACTGATACTCCTTTATCCCATATTTGCTCTCCATTGGTTCCAACTCCTGAAGGTACTGAGCCTGGTGCTTCTTTTTCCAATTCTGCTTGTTCTGATTCATGTGGTGTTAATGCTTTTGCTTTAGGGCTTGTTGGGTTCGATTCTGTTGGTGTTTCTTCTTTTGTTTCTTGTGTTGGAAGAGTGAGACTTTGAATCTTTGAAGCAAATGCATACGTAGCTTCAGTTACAGTTGCATATGCTGGTGCTAATTTTTCTGCTACTGTTTCCGAAATTGTTCTGGGTAATTGAAAAGAAAGAGACCTTCGATAAATGGGAAACTTCTGATTGGTAGGAGAACGGGAACGGGTTCGAAAAGAGTTATTAGCGTTTGCTGCTAACGAACGGTTTCGAATAGAGTCATTAGCGTTTACTGCTGCTATGTTAGACAAAATATGCTTCTCAGATATCACAGGAACTGCTCTTGGATGTTGTCTAGCTGTTTCTCTGTAGCCCTCAGGTGCCATCTCCGATTCATACACTGAAAATGAAATTACACCAGTCAGGAAATTAAAATCTGTTTAGTATAAGTGAAATCTATAATGTTTTATTAAAATTATTTAGAATTTCATTTTTTTTTTTTCTGTTTAGTTGGAGTTGGCTATACGATTTCTTTGTTTCCAATAATAGATGAACCATTCTGTTTTTTATAGATGAATTATGTAGTTTAAATTTCTTTACATGATATATAGTGGAAAAATTCAAATCTTAACAGTTTCCTCCCTTTTAAGGATTGCTGATGATATTTAAAAAAAAAAAAGGTAAATCTTGAATTAAATTTATGTTACTTGGGGCTCCAAGATATTCAGGATCTTCATCTTCCTCTTCATCCAAATCTTCCAAGCTAACACCCCATGAGGGTGTAGCATTACCATCCGCATTATGCTTCTTCTTGCTAAGAGTATTCCGCCATTTTCTTGCCTTTTCCCTCACTCTTGCAAGAACTGATTTTCTGTGGTGCGTATGATCATCCTCCATGTCATGTTCTTTAGAAAATGGTTGCAATGTGTGTGGTGTCCATCTTGAAGCTTCTCCAGCTGCAGGAGAAAAACCTCACAAGACCTTAGAACAATCTATATATATATATATATATATATCAACTTGGCAATTCAAGAATAAACATATATAACACTATAATGAAATTGATTTATCCATATGATTTATTTTCTAATCAATGCAACTTTTGGAAAGAAGAAGAATGAAACTCCAACCATGGAAATTGAAAGACAAAAAACAAAAATAATAACTTTCATTCGTATATATTCTCTAATTATTTGATAACCCGTATTGCAATAAAATGCGCGCAGTGACGGAGCGAGGATTAAAGATAATGGGTTTAGGAGGTGCTAAATTTAAGAGGAAAAAAAACACCATTCTAAAGGATAAAACTGAAAACTTTTAGAAAGTTAGAGGTGAAAATTTTGCTGAGAGGGGCAGGGAGCTACCCCTGGAGCCCCTCTGTCCGCCAATGATTGCGCATGTTTCTTTGTAACATTATAAAGAAATTCATCCAATCTAATAACCATTATATTCCTTTACAGTTTACCGAACATAATCTAATAATAATAAATGAATAGGTAGCAATATTCTTGATACCACGAACCTCGCACAAATTGTTCAACAGTAGTTGGGGAAGAAGGAGCTCTAGGATTTTCACCTCGGTGAATACCATCAAGTTGAGCCATTGTTTCAATTCTTGGTTCTTGTTTGTCAAAATATTTATGTATTTATTTCCTGTTGTCTCTCTTTCCTGCCTTTTATTACCACAAAGAGGGAAATTTAGGAGGAGGTTCCAGCAGAGACAGGAGAAAAGCAGCCAGAGCCACATGTTATTTTGGGTTCCATTTTTACAAATAGGAATAAATGCATGTGGTTTTTGTTTTTTTTTTATCACTTGCTACTCACCAAATGTTATAATAAACCTCCTTAAATAGCAAATTATTAGGCATTCATTGACTGTTTCCCTCTCATGCCTTGTGGCAGGAATTTCCCTTGTTCATAAAAAAATAAAGCAAAAATAAATAATCCAATCAAATTCCTTATTTATATTGTGAAATAATTTCCAATCTCTGAAAGTGGCATATGGATTCTTTTGAAGGATTTAGATGCTGAAGAGCATTGTTTGTTCTCTTCTTATCTATTTCTTATATATTCAGAAACCTGAAATGCTCACAACTTTATTATTTATTAGTGCTTTTCACATACAAATCGAATGTCTGATCTTACAGAAGTCATTTGTTGAACTCAAGCATTATTTTATAACACCATTTTTTTTTAATGCAAATCAATATAGCTGGTTCATGATCGGAACTTAAGTTCATTTTTCATTGCATATAGTTTAAAATATATCAAATTTGGTACACATTTCTACAAAATAAAGACCATCATTTTTATTTATATTTGATAACTCGGATTTTTTTTTTTTTTTTTTTTTTTTTTGGTTCATGATCGGAACTTAAGTTCATTTTCATTTGCATATTAGTTTAAAATATATCAAATTTGGTACAATTTCTAACAAGAAATAAAGGACCATCATTTTTATTTATATTTGCATAACTCGGGATTGTTTTTTTTTTGTGTTTTTTTTTTATGTTTTTTTTTTTTTTTTTTTTTTTTGGGTAAATGAAAGGAGAATTGTGTTCCCATGGCAGAATTACAGAACATATAGGGTATCAAGCAGACAAACAAATATCTAATTAAATGGGAAAAAATCAATTAAGAATGGTAGAACACGTAATAATGAATTTAGTAAAAACTTTAAATTAAAAAAAAAAGAAAAAAAAGGAGAGAAAGAAAAAAGATGATTGAATTGAAAACAAACCTAAACCTGTAAACCCAGAAGGAAATGAATGAAATCTGAAATTGTTTTTTTTATCTACTTTAATATATTAGATAATGGCCAATAAGAACATTTAAAAAACTATAATTTGATTTCAAAATTCCTAATAAAGAGAATCTCCGATATTAACTTAGATTGTTCTTATTTAATTGCCACATCAGAAAAATGAAAAATTTTTTAAAATCTACTCTCAATATTAATGTTTGGTATGTCAAGTTAAGTTATCAAAAAAATAAATAGACATGTCTACCACACCCAAATTATAGATCCAAAAAAAAAAAAAAAAAAAAAGAAAAGCAAGAGAATCAAAAAGTTATGGGAATGTAGTTCATTTTGAGATAAATTTTTTAATTTAAGCTTTTATAAATAAATCTCGATCATATCATCAAACACATTTTGTTTCATGGGATGTGGAAGCGACCACGAAAAAAAAAAAAAAAAAAAGAAAGAAAGAGAATGCAAAAAGTTATGGAAGTAGTTCATTTGAGATAAATTTTTTAAAATTTAACTTTTATAAATAAATCTCCGATCATATCATCATACACACATTTTGTTTCATGTGATGAATCGACCACGATTCAAATTAGTATTGAAAATGGTCTAAAATCCGCAAAAATTAAAAGTTTCAACACATGGCAAGGGTTTCTAGTTTGTTCATAAAGCACCATATAGCGGCATTCATATATTGAAAGTTGGAACATTGTGTTTCTTCCATGGCTAATAATTTTCAACCATGAAATATATAAAAAAAACTAATTATCTATATATATTTATTTTAAAAATAAATTAAGAAAAGAAAGGAATTTAAAGTTTTTAAAGGTCTAATTATATATATATAATACTCAATAAAGAGAACGCCTTGAAATTTTTTCTTTATTTCTACATAATTAATCAAACATCTAGTTAACAAAATGTATAAAAAATTAAAAATAATCAATCTATAATTTACTATAATATTGTATGTGAAAGTAATTAAATATTACATCATCATTTAGGATAGTTATTTTATTTTGTTACATAACTTTTAAAAAATTAAAATAGAGTTTTTAGTTATATTTTAGCTAATCAATATTAAAAAATATTTAAAAATTTTTGAAAAATAAATTTATTCAGTAATTGATAAGATTTAAATTTAAATAGAAAACTAATAATTAAATTAGTTTTTTTTGGCATAATAATTTTTATTCTTTTTTTAAGCAATCAAAATAAGGGAGATTTAATATGATCACATGTAATTATATTCATTTCCATCATCTCAACCAAATTATAAGAAAATCAAAATAATAAAAAAAATTTAATAATAAAAAAAATACTCAAATCTTAGGGGCATATCATTGGACATCTCGCCAGTAAGCTATAGAATATCCAAACCTAAATCGAAGGTTGGGCCGTAAACCCCTCCTCTGGTCAACCAACCAAACCCACACCCTCTTCCCTTCTACTTATGCCTTCTCACTGCTAAAACCCCCATTTCTCTTCTTCTTATTCTCTCGCAATACAGCCATGTCCTCCTTCGCCGCACCCACCAATCTAATTGCCAATGCTCCACCCTCCTCCTCCTCCTTATCCTCCCGTCGTAAGTCACGTGCTGCGGCAGCCGCCCCTTCACGTGCTCCCTTCTTCAAATGCGATCTTTCCTCCTCACCTTCCTCACAGAACCCTAAAAGTCGCAATTCCGTGCAACAACAAAAAGTTTCCATCCTCAAATCTCTCTCTAAGCCTCTAGCTCTTGCCGCTGGTGCTTCTGCGGCCACTTTATTTCTCCGCCTCACTCCCATCCCATTCAACGACGGGCCTGGCGATTTCGGAGGTGGTAATGGCGGAGATTGGTTTGGAGGCGGCGGTGGGGATGGTTTTGGTGAGGGTGGAGGATTTTGGAAGAGACTGTTTTCTGCGGCGCCTGCAATTGCGGATGAGTCGCAGTCGCAAGAGTGGGATTCACATGGTTTACCGGCTAACATTGTAATTCAGCTGAATAAACTAAGTGCAATGAAGAAGTACAAAATTTCAGAAATCCTCTTCCTTGATCGGCGACGAGGGGCCATTGTAGGGACTGAGGATTCGTTCTTTGAGATGGTTTCTCTGCGGCCCGGTGGAATCTATACCAAAGGGCAGCTGCAGAAGGAACTTGAAACGCTAGCCACTTGTGGAATGTTCGAGAAAGTAGACATGGAAGGGAAAGCTAACCCAGATGGAACCATAGGCCTTACTATTTCATTCACTGAAAGCACCTGGCAATCAGCTGATAAGTTTAGGTGCATTAACGTAGGTTTAATGCCACAATCAAAACCCATTGAAATGGATCCAGATATGACTGATAAAGAGAAGATGGAGTATTATAGGAGTCAAGAGAAGGATTACAAGAGAAGAATAGAGAAGGCAAGGCCTTGTTTGTTGCCAATGGCTGTGCATAGAGAGGTACTTCAGATGTTGAGAGATCAGGGGAAGGTTAGTGCAAGGTTGTTGCAGAAGATTAGGGATAGAGTGCAGAAGTGGTATCACGATGAAGGATATGCGTGTGCTCAAGTCGTGAATTTTGGGAATTTGAATACTAGGGAAGTGGTTTGTGAGGTAGTGGAGGGGGATATTACCCAGATGGTTATTCAGTTCCAGGATAAGCTTGGCAATGTTGTTGAAGGGAACACACAGCTTCCTGTTGTCAAGAGAGAATTGCCCAAACAGGTGAATTCAAAATGGATTATTTTTTCTTTTGTTTGTTGTGATACCAGATTATTAGTAATTTGATAAGAGACAAATAAAAGCAGATTGATCAGATCAAATGGAGTCAGTTGCATGCACTTAAACAGCAGATTGATATACTAAACTTAGGATGCATATAAGAATAAATTGACCCGTAAAACCAACTATTTAATGTGCGATTGGCTAATAATGAGATTTTCATTTTCGTAATCATGGCATTTTACATAATTGTACTTTGATAGGGATTAATAGTTTACATTTGAGTATTTAGACTCAAACTCGAAGGAATGTTTTTTTTTTTTTTTTTTTTTTTTTATTTAGACTCAAAAAACTCGAAGGAATTGTTTTTCTTTTGTTTTTTTTCTTTAGCTTGCTTTGGCGATTGAATGCTTACTAATTGTTCATTAGCACCTTTCAGCGCCAAAAATCTTTGTGGACTTATTTCAGTGATTATATTTTTAATTCTGGTGCATACAGCTCGACCAAGTCAAGTTTTTTAACATTGGAAGCTGGAAACAAGCTCTTAGAAACAAAACTTTTTTTTTTTTTTTTTTTTTTTTTAGGCTTGCTTTGGCGATTGAATGCTTACTAATTGTTCATTAGCACTTTCAGCTCCAAAATCTTTGTGGACTTATTCAGTGATTATATTTTAATTCTGGTGGCATACAGCTTCGACAAGGTCAAGTTTTTAACATTGAAGCTGGGAAACAAGCTCTTAGAAACATAAACTCACTGGCTTTGTTCTCAAATATTGAAGTTAACCCCAGGCCTGATGAGAAGAACGATGGAGGAATCATTGTTGAGATTAAGCTTAAAGAACTAGAGCCAAAATCAGCTGAAGTTAGTACTGAGTGGAGTATTGTTCCTGGACGAGGAGGACGTCCCACATTGGTATGTTACTTTTGTTTGGATGTGGATTTTGAATTCTTTGTTTTTTGTTTTTGTCAATCAATAGATGTTTATCGCTCCAGCATCACAGTGTTAATTGAATGGTTCTTTTTCAGGCTTCATTCCAGCCAGGAGGGACTGTTTCTTTTGAACATCGGAATATCAAGGGGCTTAATCGGTCTATTCTTGGTTCAATAACCACTAGCAATTTCTTCTTGCCTCAGGTAATTTTTCCAAAATTTATAATTCTGTTTCTACTAAATAATTCATGGGATTGATTCAATTATCCCTTCTCTAATATTTTATATCTGAAGATGTACATTGTTAATCTTTTCATCAGGACGATCTTGCTTTTAAGCTTGAATATGTTCATCCCTATTTGGATGGTGTATATAATCCACGCAACCGTACTCTTCGTGCAAGCTGCTTCAACAGCCGGAAACTAAGTCCAGTCTTCACTGGTGGGCCAGGAGTGGATGATGTCCCTCCCATATGGGTTGATCGAGCTGGCCTCAAGGCTAACATTACTGAGGTGATTGATAATGCCTATTCTATGTTTACCTTCTTGATTTTGAACCCTTTTTTAATTCTGTAAATTGTTTTCCTAATGCATGTTTGTTAATGTGTTAAACAGAATTTCACTCGTCAGAGTAAATTCACTTATGGGATTGTGATGGAAGAGATAACCACACGTGATGAAAGCACTAATATAGCTGCACATGGTCAAAGAATGTTGCCAAGCGGAGGAATTAGCTCGGATGGACCACCAACGACCCTTAGTGGCACTGGAATCGACCGAATGGCATTTCTACAAGCAAATATCACGCGTGATAACACCAAGTTTGTAAATGGAGCTGTAGTTGGTGAAAGGAATGTATTTCAGGTTAGCTCATGTTCTGATAATGATAGTATGGTCTTTTGGAACTTGTTTTTTTGGAATTCTTGTGATTGATAATAAAAAATATTCTGAGTTGTTGGCCACCACATATTGTTGTTTTAGAATAATAGATGCCCTCTCTATTTTTGTTTGTTGTCTTGCTCTTTCTTGGTCATCATAGTGAGACAAGGAAAGAAAACGGTTTTATTATGCTTATGCAAGGATGCATTTTCTGCCCTTTTAATTATTCTCTTTAGAAATTAATCTTTTATCACTGTGAAGTTTGAGGACCAGGATCCAAATGCCAGATTACCATGCTAGCATTAATTAAACAAATCTACAATTACAAGCATTGATGAAACTTTTGAGAGAGAATAGTGCATTTAAATATTAGTTGTTCCTGTGTGTGTTTTCTGAGCTTCTTGTACTACAGCGTCTTTTCATGTATTTCCTTGTCAAGTAGTGATGTCGGACAGACCAAAAAGATGAATGTTCACTTAGATCTCAGCTGCTTTCCCCAAGTTTAGTGGCTATTATGCGCTTTTGTAATAATTTGGTAACTGCAGATTTTGCACTGACAATGAGCAGTGTGTTTGCCTTCCATATAACATAGATTATCTCAATTGTCTTTCATGCTGTCATATCTAACATGTTTTATGTATGAATTGCAGGTGGACCAAGGCCTCGGAATTGGCAGCAAGTTTCCATTCTTTAATCGTCACCAACTAACTATCACACGGTTTATACAGTTGAAGCAAGTGGAGGAAGGTGCTGGTAGATCGCCACCACCTGTACTAGTCCTGCATGGCCATTATGGCGGTTGTGTTGGCGATCTTCCAAGCTATGATGCTTTTACCCTTGGGGGACCTTATTCTGTGAGGGGTTACAACATGGGTGAACTGGGAGCAGCTAGAAATATCCTTGAGGTAACTATTATTATTAGAAAAGTTAGCGTCTGGGACTGGGACAAAAGCTATTCTATGTCATAATTTTATTGCTATCTGTTGCAAAATCGGGGTTGGAGAGATTTGTACAAAGCAAATAAACAACTTGCTATTTGTAAATGGTAAATATGGTTGTCTTCATATACCAATATTGCAGAATTGAAGACAAAATGTTTGATTTGTTTTTTATATTTTGGCTGCAGCTCGGAGCTGAAATTCGGATACCTGTGAGAAATACACATGTGTATGCATTCGCAGAGCATGGAACTGATCTGGGAACTTCTAAGGATGTTAAGGGGAACCCAACAGAAGTATACAGAAGAATGGGTCATGGTTCATCATATGGTGCTGGGGTGAAGCTGGGTTTGGTTCGTGCTGAGTATGCTGTTGATCATAATACTGGCACTGGATCATTATTCTTCCGGTTTGGGGAGAGATATTGAATGGCAATTGATTACAGACTTTGGCCATTAGATTTTCTGGAAGAACTGCCAAGAGTTATGGATTAAGAGAATTTTTATGAGATCCTAGAACTAGATGCGTGTTTTATTTGCATAGGGCCTTTTCCAATTGTTCTTGGTTGGTATAGTTTTTGCTCTTGGCCCTATAAGAGCCCACAGAGATGGAGAGAAGATTGTAATGTCTTGATTTATTTCATGTACTTTCATGAGGCACTGTCTTTGGGTAAGCATAGCGGTTTATATTTGATTGTGCAAAACTGAGAATAAATTTTTTGATAGCTGTTTGATTTTCTCCTATTAAGGATGGAGCTTTCTTGTTTATTTCTAGGTCAAATCTCTGCTTTTGTAATTATATTTTATTTTGAAAATTTACACTTCACTCCCTGTTTTAGAAATTTGTTGGCAATAATATCTTATTTTTAAAATTAAAAAAGATGGTAATGCTTTATCCTTCGTATGAAAAGAAAAATTAATTTTCTTAATGTTGATTTCTCTCTCGATCTTCGCATTCCAATTGCCTCCACCATTACTACTATCATTTTTAATTGTTCTCTTTTTGTTCTTCCTCATCTTTATTGAAGAACTGCCTGTTAGTGTTTTATTCAATCTCCTCTCAATTCCCACGTCCATCATCAACCAATGTTTCAATTCGTTCATCTGTATTCTACTCTCTTCTCCTCTTCAGAACTTTAATATTTGATTTTTCTAGGTTATTTTCTTTTCACTTGTTAATTTCAATTTTCAACTAATGTACTTTTTTTTTTATAATTTAATTTAATATATTTACTCTCTCTTAAATGGGTATTCCTTTAATTTTTCATGGACAGTTTCAATTTGTTATCTTTTCATATTTGGATTAAGTGGAATAAAAGTATATGTTTTAATTTTTGAGGTCTAACATATATGAATATACTTTGAACTTTGCTGGTCTTTGCAATTTCACTTCATTTTCATCTTTCTACCAATTTCGACCAACCTTCAATTATAATTAAGGATGAATTGCAAATAAGAAAAGTATTTCCAACATTTTTAAATCATTGGCCTATCCAATTAATGATTAAATTTTAATTTTTAAAATAAATGTGTCAATTATTGAATTGTAATTAGCACGACATAAAAATTAATTTAATGAAATATAATTTTTTTAATTACGTAATTTGTTTTCTTATTATCTATATATATTATGAAACACCCTAATTATTGTAATTTTTGGATTCACAATATAGTCAAAATTATTATCCATTTAATAAAAAAATAAGTAAATAACTTCTTAATCATTTTATTTGCATGTCTTAAAGATCATATTTCCAAATCTTTAAATATGTCATCCATTTCATGTGAATATAATTTGATATTCAAATGGCATTAAAATTTTATTTTCATTATCAATTTTTTTTAAAGAATAATGGAAATAAAAAGAGATTAACTAAAGCTGAACTCAAACCCAGAAACCAGAGCTTTTTACATTGAAGAGAAAGCTCAAAGAGACTCAAGGATCTGAAACATCTGTAACTGATATATATATCACTACTTTGTTGAAAATAAAAAGATCTGCACATTACCAAATTCAGCACACAGAATTACTTACCTCCCTACTTAAGAGTCATCTTCAATATCTACAATTTGAGGACTTAAATGACCAAATTGTGTGAAGAAAGAAATAGCAGTTCTGCCAAAAATGATTCCTGCAATGAACATTTTTACAGCCCTCACCGAGCAGAGAGTGCCTGCTTCAATAAACTATTTCTGAAAATTTTGCAGTTACCTCCTATCAATTACTTCTAAACATGTTCTTGATGACGGCTGGTATGCTTGGCCTTGCTAGCTTCCAACATAATATCCATGTCAGGCTGCATTTCCTTACTACAATCCCAGTTCCTCTTTCAACTTAGCAAGAGTAGCTTCAATCTCATCAATGTTATCTTTAATGCTGCTTCCCTTGCCATTTTCATTTTGACCAACATCTCCTGCTCTCTTTGACCCAGAAGCAGAAAATGAACTCTCTTTTTGAGGTCCATTATCATTTGCTTCCAATTCTGTATCAGTTATGTTAAGCTCCTTCTCTAGAAATTCTACAAATTCTTCTCCAATTTCCTGTAAATAGTGAAAAATATAGCAGATGAGGCTGCTCTCATTGACAATCCCTTCTATTTACACAAACGTTTAGTGACAAATCAATGTGGCTCTGCATATTAGAACTGAAAAACACACCACTGACTTACCGCTAGTTCCTCCCACAGGCTCTTCGGTTTCCCTTGTGATGAAGCACTGGCTTCCCAATTCTGAAATTCTTCCTGGAGATCTCTAAAGAAGTCCCCTGTAACACCAATATCAAACTGAATAACTATAAACTCTAAAGAACTAGGATATAGTAGTAATGTAAATGGGAAAGAAAAGATGATCAGCAATGTCTTGAAAATAGGAAAAGAATGATAATTGTCCTATCTCACAGACAGCACAAACTACCGATTGTTATCTGAACATCCCTCAAAAAATCACCTGCAGCATAAAGCAGTGAAGCATAAGATCAAATGAACCTAACTCCTAATAAACTCTTTAAAAAAGAAAAAAGACAACAAAATACTTTCAGAAACCCATTTCCTTGGCAATTTGGAGGATTTTCCATGGATGTAGAAAAAGATACTTTGCCTAACCAGCGTGTCAGATATTTGAGGACATGCCATGTAGGCTCCTCATATTTAAAGCATTTTTCTGCTACATATCATACATATGTAACAGCAAAGTAATGGGTTTGTGCTCCAATATAAAATTTAGCAACAGTGCAACCATATGCAAATGACAAAAAAAGGAAGTTGGAACTTTAATTAAATGATTACATTTCAGGAACTCCTTTCGGTCCAAGTTGGATAGCATACATTTCCTGAGCAAATTTTTTCATCAATATTTTCTTTCGTATGGTTAGGGATCAAGCTGGACCTCATCCCCGGATATACTTTAACAGAGACCCACTAAGTTGCCTGTTGTGCCGGCATTACCCTACACCGACAAGTTGGTATTGCAAGGCAACTTATGATGCACTAAAAGGGTGAACTTCATAGAAGCCAAAATCAATGCAGGAAAATAGGAAGTAGAAAAGAGCAATGGACAACGTAAGCAAAAAAGTACTTAAATAAACAAAAATTAGTTTGGTAGGTTTATTAGTTTTACCAAATCCATAGAACTCTTCTTCATTTTGGGTACTGCTTTGACTTCTTTCAGAGCCAGAGTATGAATAACCAGATGATTTTCCAGCATCATACTTTCTTCGAGATTCAGAGTTCAGCAGTGTATTGTATGCATGCTTAATCCTCATAAACTTCTCCTGAGCATTTGCCTGTCCACCCAAAATTTTTGAGAGGGAGAGGGAGAGAGAGAGACCCAATAATAAAGCACTATATATTAGAAATTGTTTGCAATTTTAGTAAGCGGCTTAGTAACTACAATGGTTACTCATCTCTATCTCTTGAGAGTGATGAGTCATCTCTAAAGGTAGTACAACAAATGCCGTCCAAATTGTCACATGCATTTCAGATTTCCAATTAAAAGGCAAAAGATTTTGTATGCATGTGTTTGTGCGAATGCAAAGCATAGTCATGGTTTTGAAATTTTCTTTAGGATGAAAAAAGTGCTATTGTGGGATCGATTTCCTTCTAAATTAATTTATTCAGAAACCAGGAATAGCATCCTAATCAGGCATTTGCACTAAATGCTCAATGAACAACTAGATTTATCACCATAACAAAATAACCTTTTAACAAGTTCCTCATTTCTTTCAAAAGAATGCAACTCAAATAAAGAAGAATATATGGCATAAATCAGATCCAATACTATCAATATAACCAAGTCAGAATAAACTAGACAAAATCATAAAACTAAGGAAACTACACATACCCAATCAAATTCTACAAAAACTGGAGCTTTGCACCAGCAATTTTACTAAAATAAACTTCAAAATAAATTCCACATAAATTGGAGCTTAGGGACTAAAGTACCTCCTTATTAACATCTGGGTGATACTTCAAAGCAAGTTTCCTATAAGCCCTTTTGATTTCATCAGGAGTTGCAGAAGGAGACACACCTAAAACTTCATAAGGAGATTCTCTGCGACTTGCTTTCGTAAGGGTGAGACCGTGTCTCCTCCTATTCTTGAAATTCTTGAAAATTGGAGTAAATTGTTGAGGAGCAAAGAAAAGATGGTTAAAATCACCTCCATAGCTATATCTGCAACTGGGTATCGATGGGTCTACTTGGTTTTGTGAAAAAAGAAGAGATCTTGAAGAAAGATGAGGCAGACACAGAGGGGAAATCAATCTATACATGTTCTTTGAATAACAACCATGTATTGTATATGGGTTCCTCGTCAAATTTGGAAATTCTTGCTAAGACATGTCGTTTTAGATTAATTTCGCTTTTCTTTTTTCGTTCGATAAAGTTTAGAATAATGGTTGATTTTTGAACATCGCTATTCAGGTTTTACCAAAACGATTACAAATTTAAAAATTAATGGACAATTGTCCCAAACGGTAAAAATTTAAAAATTGAGGCTGAGACTTGAAAATTATAAGATTCTCATTACCACTAATTTACCTTGGGTTATTTTAGAAGACTTCTGTACATGAGTTGTTCCATTTTATATATCAAAGCAATCAAAAAAAATATTTTTTTTAAAAAAATAATATTGTTATTTTAATTTTTTAGTAAATACTATTTATAATAGGTTTTGTATATAAGTAGCATATATTATATGTAGATAAGTCTTTCCGATGTTGTTAAATTAATTTATTAAAACTTTATTCTGAATGTAATTTGCGCATATATAACATTAGAGAAATGTTAACTTAAGTCACTCTGAATTATTATTGCTATTATTATATGTTAAAAGAAATAAATGAGAGTAAATTTAGAAAGTTAATGAATTTTACTTATTCTTTTTTATTTTAGATCAATTTTATTCTCTTATGTTGTTTAATTAATTTGTTGTAACTTTATTCCAAATGTAATTTTTGCACATATAGCATTTGAGAAATGTTAGTTTAATTCACTCTTTATTAATAATTTATTCATTAAAAGAGATAAATTAAAAGAGAAAAAAGTGATTTTGATTAAACTATAATTATGAGAGAATGAATATGTATGATTAGGGTTCCAAAATCATTGATTTGAATTTTAAAATCAACTATTTAATTTTAAAGAAGAGTAAAAAGTTAAAATCGAACCACTTGTAAATGATTTGAAAGATAATTTTAAAAATCACTGAGTTTAGTTCGATTACAAAGTACACAATTTAGATAAGCACATTGATTTTAAAATTATCAAGAGTTTCTCCCTTCTCCAACTCCTTTCCAATTGTTTATTTTCTTCAAAAAGTCAAGGAAAAGTTTTCTTAAATTCCTTCTCAAAGTGCATTATATTAAGGGCAATAAAATTATTTCCTTTCTTTTAGGGTGTCAACTGACTGATTTTTTCATGCCATTTTTTTATTGACGGTCAACTTATACAGCTGTAACCATAAAGATAATTAGTATATAATTCTTATAGTTTGATAAATTACATTAGTAAAAATCTCAATTTTTATAATTTTACACTATTTAGTCTTTATGCAGTAATTATTCTTAAGGTTGTTTTTTATATTTCACAACCATTTTACGGAAAAGCTAACCATTGGACCTTATAGTATGATGAAAATGATTATACAAAGACTAAATAGTGTAATTTTGAAAATTGAAATGCTTATTAGCGTACTTAACAAAAATTTAGGGACTAAATAAAAATTTTCTTTTTCAAAAAAAGAAAAAAAAGGCAGTAGAGATGATAGAGGATTTTTTTTTTTTTATTTCATTTTCAACTTATATTTCAAATGACAGTCGAAAAATGTTTTGAGGGTATATTTAGACACCTGAAGCTGAAATGTGTCTTCTGTCTTTCACCCATGCACATACTAATCAGGGCACCAACGTTTTATAAACTTCACTTTAAAATCCCAATTATACACAATTGCTTTCGGTCATGCTCAGATTTATATTCTGAGCTCATTCAAATTTACACTCGTGAACAAGCATTACAGCAAGGGAAAATCTTACATGCTCACTTGATTACATCCGGACTAGCTCATTCGACTCATTTTGCCTCGAAGCTTATCTCTTTATACGCTGAAACTAAACAGTTATATTATGCTCGTAAACTGTTCGACGATATTCCCAAACCAAACATCCACTGTTGGGTCGTGCTTGTTGGGGCCTACTCTCGACGTGGGTATTATCAAGAAGCTTTAGATGCCTTCTTTGAAATGCAAAATGAAGGATTAAAACCTGACAAATTTGTTATTCCAAGTGTGCTCAAAGCTTGTGGTCATCTGTTCGATTTACAAAATGGGAAGACTTTACATAGCGTGATTTTGAGATATTTATTTGATTCTGATGTTTTTGTAATCACTGCTTTAATTGATATGTACTGTAGATGTAGACAAGTTGGAAAAGCGCGGAGAGTTTTTGATGGAATGGAAGAGAAAGATTTGGTGGCATTAAATGCTATGGTTTTAGGATATGCTCAAAATGGATTGGCAAAGGAAGGATTTAATTTAGTTGAGAAAATGAAAATTTTTGACATTAGGCCTAATATAGTTACTTGGAATACTTTAATTTCAGGGTTTGCACAGGCAGGAGAAGAAGAAATGGTTTCAAAGGTATTTGAACTGATGCTCATTAACGGTGTGGAGCCTGATGTATTTTCTTGGACTTCAATTATTTCAGGGTTGGTGAAGAATTTTAAGAATGAGGCTGCTTTTGATACATTTAAAAAAATGTCGGACAGTGGGTTTTATCCAAGTTATGCTACAATTAGCAGTATTTTACCTGCTTGTGCAAGTATGGGTAATGTGAGGCTTGGAAGGGAATTACATGGTTATGCGGTGGTGATTGGAGTTGAAAATGATATTTATGTTAGCAGCGCGCTTGTCGACATGTATGCAAAATGTGGCTTTATATCTGAAGGAAGGACTTTGTTTTATAAAATGCCTGTAAAGAACACAGCTACTTGGAATTCGATGATATTTGGGTATGCAAATCATGGGTACTGCAGTGAAGCCATTGATCTTTTTAATCAGATGGAAGGAAAGAAGTTAGATTACTTGAGTTTTGTGGCTGTGTTAACTGCTTGTAGCCATGGCGGCATGGTTGAACTTGGGAAAAGTTTGTTTCTTTTGATGCAAGAGAAGTACAAAATTGTTCCAAGATTGGAGCATTATGCATGTATGGTTGATCTTCTTGGTAGAGCTGGAAAACTATCCGAGGCATATGATACAATTAAGACAATGCCTATTGAGCCTGATTTATTCGTTTGGGGGGCGTTATTAGGGGCATGTAGGCATCATGGGGATATAGAACTTGCTGAGATTGCAGCTAAGCATTTGGCTGAGCTTGAACCTGATAATGCTGGAAATGATATGCTTCTGTCAAATCTGTATGCTGATGCTGGCAGTTGGGAAAATGTTGCGAGGTTTAAGAAGATGATGAAGAGAAAAAAGTTAAGAAAATTTTCTGGGTGCAGTTGGATAGACTCCTGATTAAATGTAAATCTGAAAAAGGTTTTTTTTCCCTAATTCTTGTTGGGTGCCTGTAGCAATCATTCATTTCCATTCGCATTCCAATTTCAAGGTGAGCTATACGAAGCCCCGAAAGGGTAAACCATTTAGCAGGATCTGACGGGAGAGTGAAGAATGTGAAGAAAAGTGAAAGTGTAAATTTCAAGTCTGAAAGGTTCAGATTTCTGGTAGCAAAGATATCAAATTACAAGCCAATAGCATTTTGTAGCTTGTTAGAACAATCTATGAAATCTCTGTAAACATTGGATGATTGGAGCTGCCTTTTCTTTTTGTCTTTTTTTTTTTTTTTTTTTTTTTTTTTTTCTCTTCTGATTTCTTTTCTTCTTCTTCTATTTCAGCTAACTTTCCTTTTCCTTTTTCTTTTCTCTTCTTCTCAGTTTCTTCTTTACTTTCCTTATCCTTCATTACTTTTTCTTTCTTTGTTTTTCCAGCCTCTCTTTTTACTTTCTTTTCTTTTTTAATCTCTTCTTTTCTCTTCTCTTCCTTCTCTTTCTCCTCCTTCTCTTCTTTTTCTTTCTTTTCCTTCTCTTCTTTTTCTTTCTCTTCTCCTCCTTCCTCTTCCATGGGAAGGGATCTATGCACAGCTTTTGCTTGTTTCATCAAATAATTGGGCCAACAAAATGAATTATACATATATAGATAGTCAACCCGTTTGTACTTTGTGGAAAGCAAATAATTGGTTAAAACGACAACCCTACAGAAAAAAAAATGATTTAATATCTATTTTGGATTTGAACTTTACTTCATATGTCTGTTCTGTAGCTTTTGAAGGAACCTGTGGACAAGGAAGAGTACAACTCTTGTACTGATTCCAAGCTCCTGTTTCTTTTTTCTTTTTGATAATGGGGGAATAAAATACTGAAAATAAGTAGGTATTCATAAAAAAGATAGATGGACAAAATTTAAGGACTACTAACAGATAAAAAAAAAAACATTTGGTCCTACGTCATTCAAAGCACTTTAATAAGCATAAAGTGCTTCAAGCTTTATCCATAGCTAAAGTTTCTTTAATTCATACAGACACAATTTCTTATTCTTCTGCAGATCTATTGCCAGATTCCCACCATCATAACAACAGAACCATTTAGCACAAGGGCTTTTGGTTGGTGGTCGTAAAATTTCAACCTACAAATTCTGCTCCTGACCCACTCACCTTTTTATCATCTAAAACAGCACAACTTTCTTAGTTTGATTTCCCAGTTTAGACTAGTACTAGGAAAAAGGTTAGTCTAACCCCAAAAAAAAAAAAAAAAAAAAAATTTTAGAACTAGTACTGGAAAAGGTTAGTCTAAACCCCAAAAAAAAAAAAAAAAAAAAAAGAAGCAACATGGACTCCAAGTGTTGCAAGTTGGTGAAACCAAATTGAATTTCAAAGTAACTCTTCTTCAAAATATAACAGTAAAATCTTTTGAAGTAATAAAATTTTCAAAAAATGCATAAAAAAAAAAAAAAAAAAAAAAGAAGCAACATGGCTCAAGTGTTGCAGTTGGTGAACCAAATTGAATTTCAAGTAACTTTCTTCAAAATATAACAGTAAAATCTTTTGAAAGTATAAAATTTTAAAATGCATAACTGAATGAGAAGGCTTTGGCTTGAACAGAAGTTTGAAACTAAGTTTCAGTTTCAAGACAACTCCCAAAAGAACACACAGACAATGACAGTCAGTAGACAATATTGTAGGTCATAGCTGAATTTTGCTTAATGTTCCTTTTATTCACTTTTTCTCTATTGCCAAAAAAAGAAAACATTTATCAATTAAAGAACAGGTTAAGAATGTATGCTGACTTGTCATCATCCGGAGTAACCATAACTGATGTGCCCTGATCCTTTGGCTGTCCTTTAATAACTCTAGCAGGGTATATACTGAGAGAAGGATTTCACGATTGTTGCAGAACCCCCATCACATCTGAATTCTTCGTACACTTCCTCCTCAAAACCCTCTCATGTTTGTGAAATGCGCTAATTTTCAGCCATTCCTTATGAGTTAATTTGAATAACAAGGTTTAATCAATCTTCAGAATCTACAGAAAACAGATAACATAAATCGTAATTCTTGAACAGCCATTTAATTGGAATTCACAAATAAAAGCAGACAAGAAGCAACAAACATTTGAAACCTTAAAACCTGTGAGAGGGCCCTGTTGGAAAACAGGTAAACTTCAAGCCTCTCATTTGATATCACTACAATCAAGGGCTGGACTATTCGTTTCTACAAGAAACAAATTCTCAATGGAAAATGATGCAAGAAATTCTCTACAACTTAAAAACTCTACCCGTAATTAAATCAATTTGATTCTGAATATAAGCCACCAAAATAGAAATACCATTCATAATGAAATCAAAGAAAATTTCTGAACCAAAAAAGTATTATAGAATGCATGTGCACTGCTCGCATACATCATTTGAAATGAAATGAAAATAAACTTGTCAACATGAGGTACTCTACATATAAACAAGCACAAAACAATCCACTGTTCAAGACGACAGTGAAACATACTTCTGAACCAAAAACTGAATAGTGACGCATGCAGTGACATGCATGCTCAAATTACTCATGGACCTACTTCAGTACGAGGGTTGAAAAGAACATGCATCTGTATGATTTCATCTAGTTAACGTTTCTTCTTTATCAATTGGAGCACTTTCACTATTGGAAATGTTCAATACTAGGAAGGTAACCACTACATATACAAAAAATGGAGTCCAGAACCTAATAATTTAATCTCATCAGGTTAAAAGCAGTATCACCATGAATATGACTATTGCTACTCCTCTTGCTTTCCAGTTATGACAAGTGACATCATTGCCAATAATGAAATATAGGCATTAAGTTGTATAGTTTTGTCAGCTATAAGAAGAGAGCTGCAGGTTCATTATGACTATGTAGCACACGACTCTCTAATTTATTGGGGTGGGATCTTCGTTTCTACAGACTCCTAGCTGTACAGTTTGGCCTACATCCTTGGAGGGTCATCCTCACATACGAAGTTTACTGGAAGACTTTATTTTAAGTCCTATAGATTTGATTCTGAAAGCATAAAAAAATGCATGTATTCCTTCCCATTTCGTTTTCTCATTTTGCACTTTGTAACAACATAAACCAAACAGGGGAAGAATGCATAACAAATAGGTTGATAGATTCTAATAAACAAAATTTACCTTTTGAACATCGTGGCCTAACATAGAATACTTACTCCTAAAATTGAAAGAATAAAGGTGTCTGTTAGGGGGAAAAAGAGCAGAAAATCTTATCCACCAATAACTTTTAAGACACTTATCTTCTATCCACATATAGATTGTCCCACAAACATCAGTTCCCTGTTCCCACATCATTACTACTTACAAGATTGAGAAATTACTAAACTGATCTGCGGCATCTCATCTCATCTCATGAATTCTGAAAAAAATTCAGTGTGAAAACAATAGCAAATTTATAAATACGAATCTTTAAAATGGCCGCTACATCCATGTATACCTGAGGAAATATCTTAACAAGTGTAAAGCACCTGATCTCTGGTAAAGACTCATTTCTGGAGGAAGCATCATTTCTATAAGTGACTTTTGCAATCAAAACAAAATTAGACTTCTCTAACGAGTTCCCCTTTTTCCTTTTCTTTTTAAATTTTAATTCATGGAATAATTCACCATCAAACAGAAAGCACTAGCGATCAGCAACTTATCTATACATAATAAGCAATCCAATGGAAGAAACTCACCTCTTTCTCTCTGTCCCTAGAGCGTGTCAAAAAGAACTCTTTATGTTATCACATATTATCATTAGGAGGAACAACACGGTGAGGATGATGAGAGTGAGACATAACTGAGCCATAATTATTCCCACTCCAATCTCTCTGCTGTAACATATTATATGGAAGATTACCATCAAACCCATGCTGATGGTGATGATTGAGTTGCTGATGGTGATGATGATTATTATTGCCCATTTGCATTCCCATATGTCCATAAACCGGCATTGGCATCATAGGTCCTGCCGCAGGATGATACGGGACAGGAATAGGCATTCCCAAGTGGCCTTTCCCAGGTGCAGCTCCACTTCCTACACCATTACTTCCGCCACCGACACTGCCACCGCCACTTTCATGCAAACTCTGCGGCACAGGCGTGGAAGCAAATAACTGATCAGAAGACGAGGGTCCCTCATTTGACAATCCCTGCATCCTCTTCAAATAAAGACGGTACTTCTGCAGATGACTCGCGACATTCTCGCGGGTCAAACCTTCTACGTTCATCAACTGCATGATAGTCTTAGGTACAGCGTTTTTTATCCCGAGATAAGCCACCACATCCACGAATCTTTTATGCAGCTGCGGAGTCCAAACAAGACGAGGTCGTTTCAGCGTCCTCGCCGACGGATCATCACCGGAATTCTCTGTTTTCAGAGCCGAATCTGCCTCTTCCGAATCAAGTCTCCTCAACTTCCTCGACTCGGACCCCGTACCATCCGGATCCGTATTGTTCTCCTCCGCCTCCGCCTCCATCGATTCACGTGCTCGGTCTTCATTATAGGACTTAAAGTTATTCGAGGACAGCGCGTTAAACTGTCCACCTCCGGCGCCGGCGGCGGCACCGCCACGGATACTCGAGAGAGTATTTTGCGAAGCTCTATTGACGTCAAGAATCGTTTTATTAGGTTCCAGCGAGATACTGAAAGCTGAAGCGAGCTCTGGCGGAATCAACGGTTGACATAAAGGAGTGAGGTCATCGGCAGTAGGTAAACCAATCTCCCACTCTGCAATTCTATCTTCGTCTACGTTGGTATTGTCGCCGTTGGCTTCATATTCACTCATCTTCACCTCCTCTCCCATAATTTTTACACTCTGTAAAGTCTCCAAAATTTGATTAATTCAGATTAGATTGGATCAGAGTCGGAGACAAATGCGGAGATATTTTCTGGGGTCTGTTTGCAGGAAAAGAAAGGAAAGGAAAGGAAAATAGTATTTCTTTTGTTTTTTTTTTTTTTTTTACGCTTTTAGCAAGGGATATCAGAGAAAAAGTGCAATATCTGATTCCAGATCGATCTCCTTCTAGTGCCAACGTGGACGACTTAGCCAGATATTTTTGATCCTCAAAATATCTATCCTTATAACATCAACATTTCACGCTCCACTATAGATTTACATTTATACTCGCGCTATTCAGTTGACAAATGTCCATTTTTCCTCTTTTCGTCCAATTACGATTTGCCATTTAAGCAAGTCGGTGAAGTGTGTGATTAGTTGGTCGCTGCCAATTAGGCGAAGTGGTGCACTTTTTGAGGATATTTTAGTAACTTAGCGAGTTGCTTTTGTTGGATTGACGGATTTGCCCTTGGAGTTTTAGGTTTTAGTGATTTTTAAACCAATGAGAAAGGACAGAAGAGTATTGGTGGACAGCTGGAGTGGAGAATAAAAAACGTGGACAATCAGAGACGGCACAGCATCATACGCCATGGTCTTTATTAATCTTTAATCTAAAAAACACCAAGTTGCCATTTAATAATACTACGTGATTTTAGGTGCGGCCATAACATAATTGAGGTCCAATAGAAAAATTCAACGGATTTAATTTGTTTGGTTCAATCATTGGGCTTAGTTTTTATTACGTGAAGAGTGACATTAAAATATAATAAAATATTATAAGATATTGTGTAAAAGCTGCTTATATTGTCTAATTTAATATTATTATACTTTTATATAAATAATATAAAAAGAGTATTTATGTCATCCTATTTATGCATAATATTAAATTAAATAAAATAATAAAATAATTACATATTTACTTTGCATACTCTAAGAGTATTTATGTCATCCTATTTATGCATAATATTAAATTAAATAAAAATAATGATTATATAAATAATATAAAAAGAGTATTTATGTCATCCTATTTATGCATAATATTAAATTAAATAAAATAATAAAATAATTACATATTTACTTTGCATACTCTATTGAAGAAATATTATGCATAACAATTGTTAATTATAATAATACATTTTTGCTTTGAACGTTTAAAATTAATTTATAAATATTTATGCAAATTATTATATAATCAAAATGGCTGCTTATGTAATCTTATCAATATTTCATGTTTAGTTTAATATTTCATGTTTACATTGATTTTATTCAATTTGAACTGAACCGAATAAATGGCTGCTTATGTAATCTTATCATTATTATAATGTAAATTCTATATAAATTTGATTATGTTTCTGACGACAGACCGTTTAAGGATAAAAATATTGAGTATTTCGGTCTCCAAGCTGAATGCAATCAATCCTGGATTTTTGAAACCATATATAGAATCTCCTCCTGAAGCAAAACTTGATCAAGATCTGTTTTTAGTTTAATTTCTAGTTTAGACAGAAATGGAGAAAGACGTCTTTCCAAGTAAGCTTGAATACCGGTAAATCGGCCAGCAAAATATTTTTCCGACGAAATGCATTACCGAAAACTTGAGAATTTCAAACTTTTCAATTTGACCCGAAAAGGTTCATAGTATGGGAGAGAGGATCAGCATGCTTCCACTCATAATTAACATAATCGAATTGAGATGCTCCAAAATGACAGGGGCAAATGGGTTGATGATGCTACCATTTTACGTGATATGATTGTATCTTTCTTCTCTCATCTTTATAAATAATAAGTACCCTTCGACTCCTATTTTTCTTATTCAAGGTTGATATCCTGCTAACTCAGTAGGAGACTTTAACAGTTTTTTGCTTCTAGTTTCTAACATAATCGAATTGAAAGCCGCAAGGCTCGACAGTTTTCACGCAGGTTTCTTTCAACGGTTTTGGCTTCTAGTTAGAGAGTAAAGCATGTGCCAATATTTTTCAAAAGCTAGTAATTAGGCAGCAAAAAGAAAATTTGAACAATACTTATCAATTAGCTTGAATGAGGCCAAATTTTTTTACATATTTTTGGTTCAAATATTTCTTTTACATTGATAATTATATGATAATTATATGATGGTGGTGATGGTGATCGAGTGATGTTGAGATGGTGGTGGTGGAGTGATAACGGTGGAGGTGACAATAAATAATAGAGTTTGAGATGATTTTGATTAGAATTCAATTTTGAGAGATTGTACTGACACGACAATTAGATAGATTTTGGATCGAATGACTAGTACATTATTTTAAGCAATGGTAAATAAAATTGTAATACTCATTACATTACCGAGGAAGAAAAACAATTCATCCAAACATAGCAATCAATTGTATAATTTAATTTCAATTTCGTTATATAATTGATTACATTGAACCAAACATAGCCTTATTTCTTATTTTTCAAAGGATTTACGTCTTTCATTAATTGAATATTTGTTTGATGTAGAATCTCTTCAGCAAAATTAGTTATTTTGGTAGTTGTTAATTGTTTTAGTAGCATTTAACTGTTGGCTGTTTAAAATAACTTTTTATAAACCGCTAATTTAACCTTTAAAAATTAATTCAAATATTATATTACTAAACATTATAAAAATAAATATTTAATATTAAACTACTTAAAAAGCTTTTATCAAATACCGCTGCAGTGGTAATAGTTCTGGTCGCTGGCTGTGGCTTGGCACTTCCTTAACAGTTGAATAAAAGGCAACTGACTTGGCTTCATTCACGCACCACCATAAATGTAGGAAAATTTAAAATTATTTTAATTTATTTTTTTTTTGAAAATAGAATTTTAATTAAATATTAAAGGACAAACTACAAAGTGGACATGGATGGGCTGATTAAAATTCTAATAGAATTATAATTAAATTAATTTTCTTTTTTGAAAATATATTTTATGTCTTACCATAGGGGCACGTAAGGAATCAAATTTTGATTAAATATATACATTGTATTTTAAAATGGATTTGAAATTTTGATTAAATATTTATATGTTTATTTAGCGTAAGTTAAGTATGAGGAAATTTAAGATGTTTTACTTTACAATTATTTTTTTAGTAATAGAATTTTGATGAAAACAAGTAACAATATCTCCAATCAAAAATACAAAAAAGATATAATAGTGTAATAGAGGTAAAATGTGGAGTCAAAACTATGTATTTCTATAATACAAGGGCAATATTATATATTATGAAAAAATAGAGGGATAGAATTGTAATTTTTTTATATTTAATACTCCCTTCATCCTAGGGGTGTCAAAATTGGTCATGACACAAGAATACAATTGGCCTAACTCGTGAAATAAATGTGTTATGATTAAAGTTAAACGAGTTCGTGTTTATAAATGAGTCACTCATTTATGACATGAATATAAATGTGTCGTGTCATGGGTTGACATGCAAGTTAGACGAGTGATTAATTTATTTAAGAGTAAAGAGGTAATTATAGTGTCACATATAAATACTCCGACTAAAACTTACTTAAATTTTATTGTTGTATTACTTTTTTTATTTTAGTTGTGAATCTTCAAGAATTTATGCATTTTATGTATAAAAATTTATATTTAAATATGATTTGAGTTAAATATGTTAAGATTGAAAAATATTATAAGCAAGTTAAGTGGATCGTGTACAGGTCAACGCGACTCATTTAACATGCTTATCATATTAAGCGGGTTACACGGATTGTATATAGGTTAAAACGACTTATTTAACCTATTTATGATAGTAGGCGGGTTACACGTGTTGTGTTCGTGTCACCTGTCTAATTTTCATATCTTATTCGTGTCGATAAATTTGACACAATTATTAAATGAGTCGTGTTCATATTGACCATAATCATGTCACGTGTTGGGTGAAACCGTGCCGAACCCGACACACCAATTCATTTTGACACCCTTGCTCCGTCCTAAAAAAAAAAGTCTCACTTTCCATAACGACTGTCTTAAAATAATAGTCTCATTTCTATTTTTGGAAATAGGCTTTTTGTTTTTCCTATAATACCCTTATAATATAATTTATATCAATAATCAATATACATAGAATTAATAAATATTTAGTTATATAAAATAATAGTCTCATTTTTCTATTTTTGGAAATAGGGCTTTTTGGTTTTTCCGTATAATACCCTTATAATATAATTTATATCAATAATCAATTATACATAGAACTTAATACGAACTATTTAGTTATATATATATAATTATATATATAATATATATATATATATATACTATAATTAGTATTTATCTCATATAATTGAAACATATATAATTGAAACATGTACCAAGATATTAAAGCCCTGTTCGGCGGTAGCGTTCGAAGTAATGTTTAATGTTTAATATGGTTGAACTTACACCATTTTAATTAATTATAACGTTCGATAATACAATATCTACTCTATCGTTTCGAGTTTAAGGCAGTGTTTTATGAAACATTATCTTCATTAATGTTTAGCATTTTATAATTTCTTCATGACATCTATACTCATCACTTGTCTTTACTTTATCCTCGTTTTCATACTCTTTTTTTTTGTCATTTTATATTAAACAGCTAATCAAACAGTTATTTGTATTGAATACTTTTAATCTAAACTGCTATATAATCGCTAGCCATTAACAGCTAATATTTAACAGCTAACTACTATTAAAACAGCTAACAACTGCTAGAACAGCTAAGTTTACCAAACAGACCTAAGTTTTTATTGAAATACTCTACAAACACTCCAAAATTAAATAAAAAATTATTAATAAAGGGTATATATGGAAAAAGAATGATAAAATATTATGGTTAAACTAATTTAACTACCAATTCTTAATTTGTATGAAAAAGAAGTGGGACTATTTTTTTTTTTTTTTTTTTAAAAGAAGTGGGGACTATTTTTTTTTTTTTTTTATGACGGAGTAGAGTAACTTATGCTATAGAGAATTTCGCACTTTACTTGTGATTATGATCATTCACCATTAATTTTAAATTTGATAAAGTCGACTATCATAACCCTATAAATCTTAGTATTCTTTATAATTGCACATTTGTTTAGTTTTTTTTTTTTTTTTTTTTTATGACGGAGAGAGTACTTATGCTATAGAGATTTTCGCACTTACTTGTTGATATGATCATTCCACATTAATTTTAAATTTGATAAAGTGACTATCATACCCTTATAATTTAGTATCTTTATAATGCACATTTGTTTAGTTGTTCATAACAGCCTATAGCTGATGAGTGGTGGCCGATAACGACTAGCAAATGAATCTTGATATTAAATTTTTTTTTTAAAAAAAAACCATGAATAGTATAAGTAGTTTTATATTTTATGATAGTGTATTTAAGGAAAAATTTTTTCTATCTTGATGAGTTATATAAATAAATGACTTATTTTAATTTTTTATATAATTTTTCATAGAAATTTATTATTTTTAAAATTATAACAAAATGAAAAAAATATGAATTTGAAAAAAAAATAATTATTTTAATAAGTATTTTTATAACATTAATAAAATTTAAATATAATATAAATATAAATCATGCAATCAATTGATATGAAAATTTTCAAAATGTAATTAACAGAATGAGCGGCTGATTGAACTTGTATCAGTTATTACCTATTAAATAAAATCCTTATCATATATTTATAATCTAGTTAATTGTTGGATATCAATCAATTACGAGGTCTGCGAATCAACTGAATTAAGTACTCTCTTAATAACCGGTCAGATTTTCACTTTTGGTTCCTTCATTGATTATTAAAATATTTTATCATTAATAATTAATTTGTAAGATAAAGATTAGTCAATATCAATTTAAGTAGTAATAAAAATATTTTTATTGAATCCTCAAGAAAGTCTGACAGAAAAACTGAAGTGAGCAATCTATTGGATATAATTTTTTTAATTTTATCTTGAGCAATTATATTTACTTCTCTGTATTCTATTTGTTTGGCTATGAAATTGGTAAGATATACTATCTTTATGAAAGCAATTTTAAAAATAAAATTTCAAAAGATTTTATATCCAAGGTGTAATGATATAATAGGCACTGTAAATAAAAAATTACTGTGGAGTGCAATATGAGGAGAGGAAGTGTCAAAATCCCTACCCTAATGCTTTCTATAGTTTATATATTGTAAATAAATTTGTTGCCTTACCCACTTTCCTAGGAGTTGCAGTCTCACACTTTACCAGAAAATATATAAATTAACAAAATAAAAAATATATATGTCTCTGTTTGTGTCATTGTCATGCAAATGTAAGCTAATTGTTCCTTTTAAGAAATAGATGTGGTGATGCACTGTTCAAATCCACAACTTTTCTTCTCTTTTTAGTTTTGTGGAACACCCAATAAATATTTTTCAGTTTTCACTAAATCTAAAAAGAAAACATTTAATAAGACAATCAAACTTACCTCATAATAAATTTTTAAATTCATTTTCTCCATATTAGATTTTTAATTCAAAATTACCTCATTTTCTTTATACTAAGTGAATATCTTTTTAGTATTGAATTAATTCTCGTTCGAAATGTAAAATATAAAGATTTACCTTTTATAAAAATAAAAAAAGTTTACCGCCTCAATCAATATAATTCAGAAAATTAAATAAATATAAAAGAGATGTAACATCAATCAAATGATTAGAATTACTTATTGTAATAAACATCAAGTGCATTAAAAAGATTTTATACACAATTGCTAATTATCTTCAACTCTATATACCGAGTTGCACACGTGTTTTTATACTCGGAATAAAAATTGTATTAGCTAAAAAGTCTTCCAGTGATAGCAACTCTAAATTTCTGAAAAATAATAGTATATGATAACTCTTATTGAATATTTTGAATAAATACCCAATAAAAATATACTCATAAAAACTAAAGCTTTAGAGCTACATAGCACCTTACTTGGTAAACTCTGTAGCTCTTCTATTTTAATGGTTCAAATTCAAAGCAAAACTCAAGATTCCTATAGAAAGCCCAAGAGCCCAATTTTTCATCACCCACTTGAATTACATTAATTGGGTTTTGTTATCCAAAAAGCTCACTTCCTCTCCCATTCTTCATTCTCCTCATCATCAAAATGTTGGATCTTCCTCACTAACTGCTACTGCCTGTGGAACTCAAGATTCAAGAAAAAAAAAAAAAGCAAAAAGTAGCAGATGATCAATGGCCATGATATGTCTATCTTTACCCCCACTTTTTCCTATCACTAAACCCAAACCTTCTCAATCCTGTCTTCTAACCCATAACTTATCTCTACCTTTCATTTCCTTATCTCCTCCTCTTAGACCAAAAACAACAATCCATTTTCATAAAATTCACCAAAGAAAAAAAACCCTAATTTGGAGAATCTATGCTGCTCCTGAAGAGGCCTTGCCTTTAGACACAGCCCCAGTAGAAAGCAACCAGCAGATAGTGTACACTGGTGATGATGGATCTAGCAACATCATATCGATTCTTCTCTTCATTGCCTTCATAATTTTATCAATTCTCACTGTTGGGGTAAATTCTAAACTTCATCTGTAATTCTTTGTTATTTCCAAGATTAATAGGATAAAGTTGAAATCTTTGGAGCTGTTTTTGTAAATTGAGGATTTGGGTTTGCAGGTAATATATTTAGGGGTGACTGATTTTTTGGAGAAGAGGGAAAAAGAGAAGCTTGAGAAAGAAGAGGAAGCCAAGAAGAAGAAAGATGGGAAGAAGAGAAAGGTAAGAGCAAGAACAGGGCCAAGAGGATTTGGTCAGAAAATTAACGAGGATGATGATTTAATTGATTAGCATTTGCTATAAGTACCAATAGTTGTTTAATTTTGCCTGTTCATATGAAATGAAATCTTTTTATGATTCTCTTTATTTTATTTTATTTATGAAAAAGAAAAAAAAATTATAAAAAGATAATTTGGAAATTTTAGTTTTAACGTTAGTATGAATTTTATATTACAATAATTTTTTTGCTTGATTGGACTTGCAATAGAAAACATAAATATTATTTTAATTTATATTTTAATATCACTTGTTACTTAGAGTTTATGTAATGGAGTTACGAAAATAGTATCATATAAGAATAAATTCTTTTTAGAATTTATAAATATGGAACACAGTTACATATATGTATAATATTATTAATTATTAACAAATAAAATAATAATTCAATGTAATATCTTAAAATTCTAATACCTTTCAAAAAAAAAAATATTATTAATTATTGACAAATAAGAATAATAATTAAAAATAAAGTAAAATAAATTGAAATCTTCAATGTGTTTGAAATAATTATTATACAAGAATTTATTTTAATTTAATAAATATTTTTATTTACATAGCAAATTAAAATATAAATTTATTCAAAAAAATTAATATATTTACCTTAAATATATATCTGATAAGTGATAATTTATGAAAATATTTATACTTTAATGATTATTTTTACATTGTACATTTCAACAGCACCCTTTAACTATTAGCATTAACTGCTATCTACACGCGACGCCACAATGTATTAATGTTGTTTTAAATTTAGCATTTCTCAATTGTTTTGCTATTCCATAATGTATTAACGTGGTTTCAAATTTAGGACTTTTCAATTATTTTTTATAATCTTAATAACCGTTATATTTATAAAGTTAATATATATAAACACGAATAAGCTAGTCATTATCATTATATTATTATTATATATATAAAGGAGAATCATGACTGTTCTTATGTGTGCTTATATGGCATCTCCACACCTAAGAGAAAGAGTTCATAAAATTTGAGTATTTGATTTTTAATTGGCTAAAAAAAATTTTTGACTCTTAAAATTAAATTTTATGAGTTGTAAATTAGAAAATATAATTCCCCTATTTAAGATTGTCTTTATTATCTTCAACATAATATAATTATTGTTGCCTAATTATTATTCTTCTCACCTTAAATTTGTAAAATTACTTAAATATTTTATATTTTTAATGGAATTAATTAATGATGATTTATGATAATGTTTTTTCAATTTTTACTTTTTTAAAACTTATTTAATTAAATCGATATCGATTTGTGCATCAACGGGGAAAAATTGTGTATTGTATTTCTGATTTATAACAGACAAATATAAATAGATTATTTTAATATTAAGTTGTTATATAATAATATTGCAGTTGAAAAAAGTTATTAGTTATATAGAGTATAGTATAATGCATTTGAAAAGTTAAAGAACAATTAATTAAAAAACAATTGAGTGGTTGTTTTATTTTTATTTTTGTTGTGATTAATGAATAAAACAAAACAAAACCAAGCGACACAGTCATACTATCATCCGCGACACACTACGACTATAAATTCCAGCTGGCATTTCCAAAACCCAGGTCGATTCCAGACTACCACTTGGCGGGCGCACACTAACAAATTCAACTCTATAATCACTATCTTATGCCTATCATATCAGCGCATTTTAACACTCATCATCATCTATCATTCGGGTGAAAATAAAATGAACCGATATATTGTTTCACATGCAAATGTACGAGTGCGGAAATTAAGGAAGCGAAGATTAACCGGGAAATGCGGTTTAGAAATCGGCGATTTTTCTGTGTGCCCGAGATTTCGCAGAGGCGCGTTTGTCAGCGATTTCTCGCAAATTCCTCAGGCTTTGTCTCGCAAGAACATCACCTCTCCGGAGTTCGCTAAATCCGCTAACGTCAGTAACTGAATCTAAAAAAATCAACCAAAAATAAATTATCCAAAAGATTCAAATGGTATTTTTTTTTTTTTTTTGGTTTAATTTAAAGAAATTCAAACTGCATTATACCAATATGCTTCAAAGATTGCTTGAATCCATTAAACTGAGACAAATCTGCAAATAAAGTACAAAACAAACAGTAAGATCGAGCTAAGATATCGAAAAGATTGAATCGCTACCTTTGATTTCGAATTTTACCTGATTGAGAGGGACTGTGAGAGACGAGGTAAAGGACGAGAAAGCAGAGGAAAGTGAGAATTGGTATAAAGTGAACGAGTTTCTCAGGTTTTGAAGGCGACGACGAAGGTGAAGAAGACGACATTGAGAATCGGCGAGGTTTTGTAGCTTTGCGGTGTCCGCCGTCGTCGTCATAGGCAGGGAGGGAAAGAGTATCCGACATTAGAGTATCTTCTTTAGGAGCTCCTCCATGGCTGTTAAGCTTCGAGACCGGTGAGCCTAGAGATTGCCTCTGCATTGAAGAAAAAAAAGGAGAGAAGAGGAGTAGTTTAATGGAGTGAGGTTTAGCTGTTGCATTTTTAACAAGACAGTGGTTTTATATTCTGTTGTAGCTGCGCTACTGGGTGAGGGTAAATTAGTATTTTTGACTCACCATAATAACGTATCTATCTTACTGTTTAAAATATATTAAAAGATTCTTTAATTTTTATTTTATTATCAATTAGTTAATTATTTAAGTATCTATTTTATTACAATTAAATGAAACTCTTACCCTAACTTTTGCAGTTAATTTCACTCATCTCTCATAAAAACAAAAATTCTATAAAAAAAAAATTCTAATCATAACATATCCTTTTAGCATTTAACTTTTTATAAAACGCGAGTTAACTTTTATGAGATACTGCTGTGTTACTAAATACTATAAAAAATAACATTCAGCATTTTAATAAGTCAAAAAGCTATTGTCGGCATTAATTTTTATTTGAATAAAAAAAAGAAAATAAACTTTTTTTTTTCATAATTGTTTATCACTTTATATTTGGATACAAAGAAGGAAAGAAAATAAATTATATTCTCTTTTAAAAATATATATATTTTTTCTTTATTTGAAAAAAGAATGATGTTGCAGCTAAGCCAAATAAATTTATTATTCCCATTTGAAAACAAACATTAGAAATAATATAAAAATAAAAAATAAAACTTTATTAGAATTTAATGTCATCAAGTAGTTGACACAAAACAGATTGTCAATGCAAACATTAACTAACCCATTAAACTGCCTTTCACCGGCCCTTTAAGTTGCCTTTACATCATTGGCCGAACGTGTGTCAGCAAACCACTCTCAGTAGCCATTTTCGTCCTTCAAATTGAACCACCTCTTCAGTTATCGTTAAATGCGAAGCTCAGAGCCACATTTGCAATCCAAATTTACCTAAATGGAAAATCGAAGCGATAGAAGAAAATTTATAATTGATATTCAAGTTTTATGTGGAAAGAAGAGAAAAGAAAATATTAAAAGAAAAAATAATGAAATCTATTTTATATGAAACGGTACAACCTTTTCTATTCATTTATCCTTTTTTTTTTTTTTCTTTTTTCAATTTGGAGAGATTTTATTTTATGGACTCGAGAAAAAAACAATGCATAGTTTCCTTCTTTAGATATTTCAATCACTCTTTCCAAATAAGGGAAAATCATTTCCAAACAAAAGAAGAGGAATTACTTCCAATGAATGACTGAAATGAAAGCATTGATCAACACATCTAGCAAGTTTAACCAATTACCACTTTTAACCTGTAATTTGGTAATTTTGCTATTCCCTCCGTACTAGTACATCTTTTTTTTTTAATTTGTCCTGAAACATAATCCACTTTCCTTTTTGACATTATAGTTAATCCTTAAATTGTCTATTATATCCTTATTAAATTTTATCTTACTTTCAATAACCCTCCTCTATTCTTACTTATTATTTCAATATAATAATTGCTCATATATTAATTAAGATGAACATAATAGAAAAATTATATGAATAAAATTATTCTTTAGCTATAATAATTATTTTTTTCTTAATCTGTGTGAAAATAGAAAGTGGACTATCATTTTGAGACGGATAGATATTTTTTTAAAACCTTCCATTATTATAAGTACTTACCAAAACTATTTGGCCTTCTTTCGTTCTGGTTGCATAGTCCCTAAGACTAATCATCATTTGACATTCACATTCAATCCATAAATTCACATAATTGAATTATTAAATCAAAGGCTAGGCCCATTTACAACTATCAAGCCAACATTATCATAAATAATAAGGAAATAAAGCTCAATTATACAAATTATCCAGAAATGAGCTTTTGAATGTATTAATGAACCCTATGGATACAAATAGATCTTATAGACTATTATACGAATTTGACATGAAATTACAATATCTACACTTAATGTTTGGTTGTGTCAAAACTACTATGTTAGACAAGGCAAGGTGTTATTGCAATTCAATACAAGAAAAATCAACTGGATATGCTTCATGAGTACTTAACAATTCTATGATGCATTTCAGTCTAAATAGTTCATTTTATCCTTTTGTCACCCAAATAAAAGAAATGCAAGAAACTATCATCTTAACAAAAAAAAAAAAAAAAGGAATTCATTGAAGAACAAAAAGTACAGGTAATAAGAGTTAAACTCACATGACTTAGATATACCAGGGCAGCGATTATATTACCACTATATATTCGGTATATATGCATCCTAATGTGTAACCACCCACCCGAGTATATCTACCAACCCAAAATATGATCTGATAGTTCATGATCATGATAGTATTTTGCACATTAGTTGTTCATCCATTACAATATAAACCTCAACAATCTCAAATAAATAATCGGACAAATTAAGAAATATTACACTATATATTACTTGTTTTAATCTCCATGTTACCAAATGATATCTGATATAAAAATTAAATTATAAGGCAGTAATTCCAACACTAGTTGGATTTATAAGAAATGGTAAAGCATGAGACTTACACTGAAAGATGGTAGCAATACCATGTCGAAGCTTGCTTATCTTGGAAAAACTTTTAGGTGATGCGAATTAGCAGTACAACCATGATGAAAATCATTAGAAAAATCGGAAGCCAAGTGGAACATGTGGTTTTGGAACTTTTGGAGTATATCTCTAAGGCTTGTACATTGCCACAACCAACGCCTGCCAAGCTATGCTCAACAGCCTTCTCTGTAAAATCAAGTATCTGTGCGCAAACAAACATTTAGGCTTTGAGACCAAAAACAAAAACTTGCATATATGACTTCTTAGCTTCACCTTACAAATTTGTTTTCTACAGACACTGGCTTCCTAAGGTATACAGGAAGGGCATCAACTTTACAAATAGTCGGAGTGCCTCTACATTGTTGACCCAGATATAAATAATTATACATGTAATTCAAGATTTATTCTTCATAAATAAACAGAAATATGAATTTTTACATAGATAAGTGGTAATTTAGAATTTCATTCTGCATATACTCATTAACTATAAAAAAGTAGGGGGAAAGTTGTGTGCATTAACCCTCCCCAAAGCCCACGCACGCAAGATGCTTCATGCGCTGGGTCGCCATTTATATACTCATTAACTAGAGGTTTTAGTTGCTACCATTCTACTAGCATCACTAACAAGGAAAATTGAAAAATAAAAGCAAACTTGAGAGCTCAAGGCAAATTTAAAGGAGTTGTTTCCCATGTCAAGGAGAAAAAATATTGAAGATGAAATTTGCTTCTCCATTCCCTTAATTCATTAGTGGCCAGTCCCATCTCCAATCAATGGTAGGAAAAAAGGTTTTTGGTACTTAAAGAAAGCCTGCCCTCTTATGGCTTTTACAATTTTATAGACCTACATATGTTAATTTTTTAAGGGGTCCATTCAAGTCAATTAAACCGGTTAGCAGTTTACCATTTACTGAATGAATCCAGAGATGGTTCAGCAAGCATGCAAAACTGCTTCAATTTCACTCCATGGGAGTGGGTTTCTCTTATTGCTCTTCAATTTCACCGGTCAAGATGAATTTCATATTCTAGCATCTTTCACTGCTTAAAAGTTTTGTATTTTGTCTAAATACAAGGAGACTTCAACAAAACTTCAATTTCCAGCTATTTAATTGAAAAATAAATAAATAAATTGCTGCCACAGATCTCTCTCTGATTGCCATTCAACCTCTCCTTTACAAATCTGAGCAATTTTAAGATAGAATTCACACACCTCACGTCAATCAAATAATGACAAAAGGAATATGATACGTCTTCACCTATCCTTCTAGTTTCTAAATCATTACCATATTAAAGACAATCATTAGCTAAACTTGTACAGAAGGAATAATGGACTACCAGATTATATCATGCTGCCTCCTCAAGAACATGCAAGACTCACCCACCAAAGCTATAATTGCACATTCTCTTCAGAAGTAATATATATGGTACCAAAGATCATTACCTTTTCAGTATTTTGCAGGGGCTGGCTCATCAAGAGGCTACTCTCTTTGAGTTGTTGTGCCAAACCAACCATTTCATCAGTCAAGTCTTCTTGAAGCTTTCAGCAACGAGATACATAAGTCTAATCAGAACTCAATGATCTTTGTTTACAGTTTTAATACTATGAGCAACACTCAAGAGGAAGCACTAAGAAACTTTGATAAGTTGAAGCATGCTTATTTATCTAAATCTTAGTACAATAAACTCGCATTTGCAATGGACCTTTCATTTTCACCTTATACCTGGAACTAGGGAATTGAAGTAGGGGAGGAGAGAAAAATAATAAATGTTAAAGATCAATTTGGTGTTTGTCTTGCCCTCCTCTCCAATCCCATTTCCCCTGTTTGCTCAAATACTTGTTCTCTTCCAATCTCTCTTTCTCTCTCTCTCTCTCTCTCTGAACAATACCAGGCTGATGCCGCACTAGGCACCATGTGACACCGAAGTTATTGTACTTTCTTATGGTGTACACATTATGCCATTAAAATGGCAAAATAGCATCACAAATAATCACCAAATGGACAGATGTTAGCTCCTGTCCTCAAAAGGACCACCCTGGTGTATAATCTGTGCATCTTTAGCAAATGATGATTGTAAGTGCTCATGTGGACCTCCATCAGGGCCAATAAAACTTGAATAGAATTAAATACGACATAATATTTACTATTATCACATTATAATTGGTTGTACCCCAATCAAACAGTATAAAAATACATGTGCTTTTCAATGCGTTGTTTTGCTGCAGCATCCTGTTTGACAGTTGCTGATGTATCAACCTGAGTAACTCCATGAGCTCTATCATCAAGATTTGGGGCTGCCCTGTTCAAAGAACAAGACAATTCAAAATGAAACAAATATAGAAAAGAGAGGAGGGGGTGAAAAAAAAAAGGAAAAAATGAGCACCAAATTGGAGACTGCATAAATTATAAAATCCTAACAACTACAGATTCATTACACAAATCTTCTTCTCAAGCCAGGGGAAGAAGGGAACCAAGTTTCTCCATCTGATTTTGGATTTTCACTCATTGAACTCTCAGCAAAAGGCTCTTCAGATACCTGAATATGATGCTGAGAAATAGCCACATAAAAAATGGTTAGCTGTTACAACATCAACTACTACCAACACCAACAATTTAATAAGATGAACAAATTGCACAACACCGACAATTTAATAAGATGAACAAATTGCGGCAACATCATAAATTTCACACATGGATAGATGTCACAAATAACATATGTTGAACTTCTAGATCCTAACCATTACATTTAGTCATTGTAACCAAAGGGGGGAACAATTGGAAGAAGGATAACATGTAACAAAAGCAATTAAACCAAATAAATGTGTAGCAAACTTGGAGCCAACATGTTCACCAGATAGAGATCAAAATAGGGAAGAAAAAACAGAAAAAAAAATGAAATAAGTTGTGGATAGTATTATCAAATCCTATGCACAATCTCATAAAAAAAAGGGTGAAAATCAGTCAAGACTGCTCCATGTTTTCTTCAGTACACAAACATAACCCCATACATTCAGTCTGCTTACATCACAATATTTGAAGCTCAACTACATTCCAAAATGGTATTCACGATTTTCCAGTTCCTTGAGGAAAGAGAAGTTGAAGTGAAGAAAACTTACTGTATAAAGACTTTTGTTAAAATATCAGCTGGTGCAACTAATTTTAGAACTGTTGCTAAATTTCACAATCACATTAATAATTTAACACTATCCAATGCATTTAATTTCTAGCTCATACAACGCACCAATGGAGCAGCTAATTTGGAAGCAATGGCTTCAACCTTCTCTGAATAATCATTCACCTTAGCCTTTGAAACTCTGTTGAAATGTATTCAAAAAAGAAGTTAAAGTAGCACTCTATTAAATCCTAGGGATTGTTGCATAAATACAACTTCAGCCACGTTTGATTTATTGGATGGTTAACAGCTACAAAATAGAAAAAGCAACTCAAATGCAAAGGAAACAGAAATCTGGCTTACGATTGGGGAAAGTTAGATGTATTATTAGCAGGTCAATTTTCCTTGAAAAGGATATTTACAAAAAGCTTCAACATCAGTTGTCCTTGAAAATACGATTTGAAAAAGGTTTCTTCAAGTTCATATACAATTCAGAACGGAGATGATATAAAGAAAGCACACATACCTAGGTAGGCCATCTAGGGTTCTCTCTTCAGCCAGTTGTTCCAATTGTTCTCTTAAAGTAGCAACATACTACAAAGTTCCAATATTTTAAGTTAATCATTGTTAATGGAAAAAAAAAAATAGTTTACTAACACTGCTAATGCCATCACAGAGATCAGACCAATACATAACAAAACCATAAACAACATATAATACAGCCATCATAAATTTAAAAAATATAAAAGCATTATGAAAAGGATAATTTTAGTTCCAAATGCAATCTACGAACATACTTGTATAAAGTTTTGCTTGATTTGGTTGCCAAGATGCGGCCGCAAGCAACCTCCTGAAGTTTATTTCTATTTTACTGATCCCCATTACAAGATCCTGTGGCAATGATGAGATACATAAATAAATAAACAGAATTATATCTTAACATGACAAATTCAAATGCCAAGCTAATATTTCCAACACAGATGAGGTTAGTATCATAAGTTCATAACAAAAGCTCTGAAATTACATGAACTATGGAAAGTAGAAAATTACTTGAAGTAAGGCGATTTTGTTCTGTTTCATTATAAGTACAAAATTCTTGTGTATAATTAGGATTTAGGATGACAATCGACAATAACCAAATAAGCAAAAGCACAAATGGAAATCAATTAAAGAGACATAAAAAAGAAACCGAAAGAGATAACTGATAAAAAAAATTATAAGTCTCTCACTAGCCATTCATCACCATATTCACCACATTAACAACTGAGAGAAAGGAACTGAGAGCTAAACTAGAAATACTTGATTTAGCTTCTCATATATCCTCAGTAGCCAAAAAAATTTATTGACAGAGAAACTTACATTTGATTAAGTATTGATATTTCGCGGGAGAAGTAGGCATCGTCTGAGACTGGCGCAGTTGGAGGCAGTTGCCGGAGTGACGATAACGAGAAATCGCACCGCGGCGAAGAAGGAAAAATGAAGGATATTTTGGTTTTAGCTAGGGGCAGTTTTGTCTAAGCACAAAATTAAGCTTGGGAGTACTTTTATTTTGGGCTTAAGGCCCGTTTGGTATATCATGTGCGCATGTCCGCTGTTTGTTGAGAGAGGCTGGTCACCACTAACTAATGAATATCGATATTAGTAAATTTTAGCTCCGTTGCTATTAAAACATAGAATGACCTTTTAAAGAATTATATTAGAGAATTATATAATAAGTCTCTCATAAGATTTAATAATATTTAAAAGTGAAAATATTATTTAAAATGTGAAAAATAAAACAGAAAGAAATTATGAAAAATTGTTATTATTATTCTTAAAGAATATTTGTTATTAAAAATTGGATGTCGTTTATCACACACACTTAAAAATGTTAATGGCAGCAAGCAGTTCCAATTTCGTTTTCCATTCCCATTTTTTAAAAAAAAAAAAAATCCCATACATTTTCCACTGTTTATTTTAATAATCAGCATCTTCGTTCTTAACCGTAAATATGAGACACATATATTCAAAAAATGGTACAGTTTTCGCAATAGATTCTGTAACCCCAAATTTATGATAATCAGCTTCCAGTCATCTTGTTTTCCAGGGTCAGGTGTCCTCTACCAAATTGTATGGCCTGAAAACATGCTTGAGAGACTTCAAACATCATTAATTGTCAATTGGAGACCAAGGAATTTAGTTTCTTTTCATATAATTTGGCTCGCCGAAGAGCTTCCAAAGCCTCACCTTGCTTCCCTGAACGTTTCAAATTTACTGCCTTTACCTTCTCTGCCTTGATCTGCTCTTCTAACTGAATCTTCTCCTGGCTAACTTTTTCACCCCTTGGAGGATTAAGTTTGACAGGTCCTAGTTTTTCTGGGCTAACAGCTTCACCCTTGGGAGGATTAAATTTGACAGGTGCTGGTTTTTCTGGACTAACATCTTCAATACCGATTGCTCGCAGAGCAGATAGAAGTTGAGGATCGAGAAGATCTTCAACCAATCCATCATCTGCTGATTCTGCCATATTGACATTGTACTTGCTTGAATCTTGAGAAGTTGCCTCCTCCAACTGTGCTTCAAGAGCCTTGGCCAATTCAAATTCAGCTTCTGCTTCTTCTGTCCGGCCTTCTCTTCTCAGTTTCAGTGCTTGCCGTTTGTGACTAAGTGACTGCTGTTGTAACTTGAAACGATCACGTCCAGACAATGGTTTTGGAGCCGAACTGGATGCACTCGGCTCTTTTTCTTGAACAGAAGAGGCACTAGACACAGATGTTGAATCCTGTGTATCAGTTTCAGCATCAGAAATATCTGCCTCCAAACTCTTCTCTAGAAGCTTTGCCTGACGAAGTTCTTCTCGAGCCTCCAACAATTTTCCTTCTCTCTTTAAAGCAACCGCCTTCCTCTTGCGAGCCAAAACTTCTTGCTTAAGGGGACTTTTGCTAATTTGAGAAGCCAATCTCTGACTAGAATTTGTTTCATGAGTAAGAGGCTTTTCAGCCGTAACAGTTACTTCACTACTGAGATTTTTAGGGGAACCTGTCAAGGACGCTACATGAACCTGGTGCTCAGCCTGGCAAGAAACATCAGAACCAGAACTGACTCTATCTTTTTTGCTTTTGAGATTTTCTTCAGAACTGGTCAAGGAATCAATTTGAACATGGGCATCTGGCTTTTCAGCTGATATTTGAGAACCTCTCCAGGCATCACCTGTCATCAGGTCCATTACATTTCCAGATTGATGAGATTGCACAATAGAACCAAAGCCTTGGTCCCTTCCTGCATTGCTAAGAAATCCCAGGTGATCTCGTTGGATCTCCCCTTCAGTACTTGATGTTGCAACTGAAACCATTAAAGATGGATCAATGGAATGACCAGAACTAACAGAAACATTTTTAGACTGCTTCCCTGGTGCATTTACTGGTTCATCTTCTTCATTCTTCCACCCTAAATTCTTTAGCATAGAAAGCAATGAGGGATCATACATATCTTTTTTTGTAACATCATCTGCATCTCCTTCCTCGACCACACTTATAAGAGGAGGCCTAATTATATTATCACTGGGCCTGTTTGATTCAACATGAATTTCTTTCTTGGGTGCTTCCATCTCCTCCATTTCCGTTTCCAATGCTTTTGCTGATCTAAGCACTTCCTCTGCCTCGTCTGTCTTCCCTTCACGTCTCAAAGTAAGGGCCTTTCTTTTCAGGCCTAAGAGTTCTCTCTGTATCTCACCTTTACTTCTTTTAGGTCTCCTTGATGATAGATTGGACGAGGCCTGAGTAACTGAGGGCTCATTATCATTTTCCTTAGAAGGTTTCAATAATGAGCTCGCTAAATCATTAGCTTCATCTTTCCAACCCAAGTTCTTTAGAAGAGAGAGGTATGTTGGATCATGCATATCTAGATCCGTTACATCCTCTTCCTCTTCTCCAGCTGGCTTATTTCCCTGGATATCAGGATATTCAAATGTCAAATCTGGCTCCTTACCACCAACATTCACCTGTGTAGACTTAGCCTTTGACGAATTGTCCATCTCTTCAAGTTGTTGTTCAAGAACTTTACCTTTCTTCAATTCTTCGTCTGCTTCATCCAATCTTCCTTCTCTTCTCAAAGCAAGAGCTTTCTTTTTCAAAGCCAGAAGTTCCTTCTGAATCATCAATCTACTCTTTGGTGCAACTTTAGAGTCCACATTTTTATTTGCATTTACTATTTGAGAAGTCAAACTTTTCTGAATAGTTGTGGTATTGTGTGTGATTAAATCATCTGCTTCACCCTCCATACTTTCCAGGTCCTTTTCAAGTAACTTTGACTTCTTTAGCAGTGCCATTGCCTCTGCAATATTACCTGCCCGTTTTTGGTTAAGTGCCTCTTTTTTCAATAAACGAATTTCACTCAATAGTCCTTCCTTGCCAATGGGGACAGAATGGACTGCATTATTTTGCTGAATGTCAGAGTCCTCAGTCCAACCTAGTGATTTTAATGTAGCTGCTATTTCTGGGTCCACCAGATCATCATCTGTCACTTCCAAGTTATCACCAGGATCATCAGCTGTGCCCATAAGGTGATCAAAATCAAAGTCATGTTCCTGATCATACCCAACTAACAACTCTTCTTGTTTATCATTGCCCATACTACGGATTAGTACAGATATCTCATCATCAGAATCTTCAGCTGCACCCAAGAGTTCCTGTTCTTCAAGCTGCTTTTCTATGACTTTAGCTTTCTTTAATTCTTCCTTAGCTTCTGCAAGCTTTCCTTCACGCTTCAAAGCAAGAGCTTTTCTTTTATGTGCAACAACCTGGGACTTGAGTGTGCCACCAGTCCCAGCATCTTTATCAGTCCTTTGAGAGATGTCTCCCAGAAGAGAAGACAACTCACCCTCCAAACTCATATTTACTGTTTTTTTATCTTCATGAGGATCTGCATCAGTCCAGCCTAATTCTCTTAGTTCTGCAGTAAGGTCATCCTTCTCTTTATATGCTTGTCTATTTTTTGTTCCACATTCTTTCAGACCATCTTTATTCTGGGCTTCAGCCATGTTAACAGATTGCAAAACCTTCCTACGGTTTTTTCTTATAGACAGCTCCAAAGCATCAGCCTGCCTCTCCAGCTCTTTTCCTCTCTTGAACGCTTTTAGAGCTTCCTCAGACTTCCCCTCTCCTTTTAGAATTTTGTACCTCTTTTTTTCATCTAAAGCTTGCTGACGTAATTCTTCAGGACTGGTTGATCCCATCTCATTCAGTACATGATTAGGCACATTGACAGAATGACTTCTATTCATTTCTCCTCCACCACTCAGAGCAGAATCCTCTTGAGGAGTTGAGCATGAAGCACTGCTACTTGCCCTTCGCAAAACCAAGTCAGCATTAGATTGTTGTGCTGAAGAAGACTCCTTCCCATCATTACCTATTATCTGGTTCAAAATTTCATCCTCAGACTTTGTCATCAATTTTGAACTTCCTGCACAAAAGAACTAGCAACATTTAGACAACCATTTTGTACAACAGTGCACATGAATTGCCAATACATGCATTAAAGCATGGACATTTGAATTTTTTCAAATGTAAAAATTCATGCCAAAACACAATATTACCGAGCATTCTCATATTATGTACACATATTATCATATTCAATAAATTCATGGGCTGCAGAAACATTCTTCCAAGCCAAAATTAAATAGCAGAAATGAAAAGGAAGGAAGCAACAGACTGAAGCAGGCCAATGTCAAGCCAAACGTTTTAATAAGCAAAAATCTTATTCTTAGGCATAACAAACTTAACCAACAACAAGAAAACATGTACCTCTCCCAGTTCTGTTCCTATGGCCATACCGCATCTCAAACCGTGCAGCCTCTTCTAGCTTTTTACAAGGTTCACAAATACGCACAGGTGAATCACCTTGACCACGTAAAACCATTCGTTGCTGAGTGCAACTGTTGCAAAACAAACCCCCACATCTTCGACAATGATGCTGAAAATCCAATCACAAGATAGATATCAATCACTTTAAAATGCTAGACAGTATAAAATCCTGTATATATCAAGTTAAATACCATTAAAAAAAAAATCCTATAACAGAGCTTGAAAATGCACAATACAAAGAAAACAAAAAATTCAATGCAAATATCTCCACTGCTATATAACTACTAACTGGTGTCTCCATTTTTCCTCTCTCCATTAACAATTAATCATTAAAAACAATGAAAAGAAAATTATTAAATTGCATATGTTACTGAAAATATTGACTAAAATAAGCACCATCCAATAGTCACTGAATAAATCAGATTCTTTAAGATTTCTTAATTAAAAATTATCGAATTTATTTACATTAAGCAACTCTAATAATCAGTCAAAAGCCAAAATCAAAAACATAAATGGGTCAAAATCATGATCAAGAAGATGAAAATGAGATTCATTATTGACTAGAGAAAGAGAAAAAAGGTAAAACCTTGCGATTGATGAAGGTGAACTGAGAAGAACAGCCTTGACAGTGTGAGGCATCAACCACCCAATTACTCCCTCGCAGAGATGGCTTTGCTGGCAATCCAATTTTCTCCAACATCTTCTCTACAACTAAAATTCAAAATCAATCGAACCACCAACAGATCGAAAAGTTCTAGCTCCACAACCTCGGTTAAGAGAATTAATATTAGGGGTGAGCATTCAGTCGGTTCAGTTAATTTTTTTATCTAACTTTCCAACTGAACTGAATAAACCGAATTATCCTACAATTGGACAAAACAAACAAAATTAAGGGGATAAACAAACCAAATTAACAGATTTTAAATCAAAAGGATCGAACAGAACTCAAATGAGGAGAAAAATGAAATAACCTAATTTGCACGGGCTCGCACAACACAGATCAATACAGGATTTCAAACAATTAAAAACTCAATACAGATTTAACTCAAACTCAAACTCAATACAGCTCAATGCAGATTTTCAAACAATTAGCAATTAAACACGTCAAAACACACATTTAGCAAGAGCTCACATTTTCACATAAAACACAATTTAACAGTCCTCATCTAACAACAGCTCAATTAGACACAAGCAATTAAACATGTCACAACAAACATGAAGGAGGCACTTGAGAGGTTGAAGAAGCCATCAATCCTGGCATTTAATTTCTGCAAAGGTTGAAGGAGCCAGCAAAATAAAATTGCTCTGACCCTCTTCCTCCACAAAAACAAATAGTATTGGAGACATCAGAACTAAGAAGAACAAACTCAGAAACTGCTTAAGTTCATTGCATACGGTGTTCTCCCTTAGAAAATATAATCAATTTGAAAATCCTAAAGAAGCTAATCATATGAATGAGATCATTGAATTTCAAACAAAAGACAAGTACTTAAAAAGCAATACATTCAATGAAATGGCCACCCTAGTAAACCAATCAACTCAAATCATACACTGGTGATTGATTAATCATGAAATTTCTCATAATTTAATAAAAACAGCCCTTGGATCACAAATTACTGTGTTAAAGGACCACGCTGAAAGCCATAAGGACAAACTAGAAACTAAAACTGCAAATATCACCAGATCTTTAAGGATATGCCAAACTATAAACCACATTAAGTTAAAATACCTTAAAATAAATATCAGCCATTCATTACAAGAGATTAGAGAATTTTCTAAAAAAAGAGAGATAGAGATCAAGCAGGAAAGATCTAAAAACCTTTTAGGGGTAATAAAAAAAATTTTTCACAAGTTATCACAATTTTAGAGTTATATAATATTATTTTTCCCATTCAATAAATAAATAAATATCACATGTTTTTTAAATTAAATTAGAATAAACAAAAATCCATATTACAATCCAACATATATACAAGATATCAACTTGATATACAAACACACAATCATTTAGAAAACATTATTAATCATAACTATTGCTTTTCATGCATGACACGGGCACGCGCACACACATACAGTACTAATTAATATATGGTGTCTTTTGAACTTGTAATATAGAAAGTGAAAAATAAAGAACCTCCAATTAACTGGTTATGTGTGTTCCCCATCCTATTTCTACTAGCTAGCCACATTTTAAAGATCCAGCAGTAGCTAACACAAATGTCAGTACCAATTATGAGAAGTGGATTGAAGGCAAAATAATGAAGTTGAATAAATAAGCAGAACATAGAAATTACATAAACAACAATTATATAAGCTTTCGAAAGGTAATTCCAAGGATGAAATTATATGATACCATATGAAGCATTTCAATTTTTTGTCCTTGTTTTTCAATAGCCTATCATTCAATTTAAAAGGTAGTCCCTTCCAGCAAAATGCATATATACATAGTTTAAATGCAAACTGGAGGTTATATATAAGCTCAAAGAACAAAAACTAGGAAATTATATCTAATGATTTTCTCAAGCACTGAAAAAAATCAAATTGAAGTCAACGGACCCAAAAATTGTAAGGATTCCAAAGATTATACTGCATCAGACCCATTTAATTTTTTTTCAAAGATTGGAACGAATAAATTGAATCGAGGGAACAACACCTAAAAACAGAGTAACCAGTTTCTACAGCTCTGCAATTGGCTAGAAAAAAAACAAAAAACATATATAAATTACCTCTTTGTGCGACGCGCCAACGATAACAACAATTGTAATCAGTGAACAATGGGTGAAAGAGTGATGGACTGGAGGTGGTGGTGAAACCTGGAGGCTTGGACTGGAGCGAAGAGCGGGTTGGGATTCTCAATCGGGTGACAGCAATGAGAAGAATTGAGAAGGTAGAATAGAAACGGAGGGGATTTTGATAATTTGGTCCGACTAAACCGAACAGATCATTTTCATTTGGGGAAAAGTAATTACCTAAATTATATCGGAATTAATATATACATCCTGTCTTTGAGATCTCTTTTTTTTTTTTTTTTTAATGAGCAGAATTGAGAACGGTAGAATAGAAAACGGAGGGGATTTTGATAATTGGTCGACTAAAACCAACAGCTCATTTCATTTGGGGGAAAAATAATACTAAATTATACGGAATTAATATTACATCCTGTTTGAGATCTCTTTTTTTTTTTTTGTTTATCCCGTTCTCAATTCCAGAGATACTTTCTCCCAAAAAAAAAAAAAAAAAAAAAAAAAGCTTGTCATTTCCATCTAATATTAGAGAAAAAATATAAAAAAAAAAAAAAAAAAAAAAAAGCTGTTTTTCCATCTAAATATTAGAGAAAAATATAAAAGGTATCAAAATTAACATGCCCTGTTATTTCCGAAAAGTAACTTAACATATTTTTTTAAAAATATTTTTCAAAATAACTAATTGTCCATTATTTAGTTGCAATATTAAAAATTAATCAAAAATATTAAAATTTTTAACTAATAAGATTATAAAAATATTAATAATAATTAAAGTTTTGTATTTTAAAAATTTTATTAAAAAAGATAAATTATGAATGTCATGGGTGACTGTGGTGACGACTGATGATAATTGGTGATTAATGATTAATGATAATCGGTTGTAATGGCTATTGATGATTAATAAATTAAAAAATATGCATTTGTAATATTATAATAATTTTGTCGAAGTCCAAAAAATATTTTCCTCTCTTGAAAATGAAAAAGTCGTTATATTTAAAAATAACTTAATTTTCATTTGATCAGTAAAATATTTTCCGTTGACTTATTTTTTTAACACCCTAAATAATAGAAAAATATTTTTTTACAAATTATTTTACGAAAACAGATGGAGAGTGTGTTTAGATATTAATTAGGAAGGAAAGAAAATACCGAAGGAGAATAAAAGGAGAAATAAAAAAAAATATCTCTTAATGTTGGATATTTGAGATGAAAATAACGAGAAAAATGATTTTACGAATAGTAAAATTATGAATTTAACTTTTAACTTTTTTTATAAGGAGTGTATACTAAATAGAGGTAAAATTATAATTTTTAATTATTTTTCTTCAATTTTCCTCTTAAATTGAAGAGAAAATGACATATGGGTCTCATAATTTATTTTCTCTCTATCTTTTTTCTTCCTCCCACATTTTTTCATTCCCAAACAAGTGAAAAGGAAGAAAATTGGTATCATTTTCTTCTCAATTTTCCCTCCTTCCATATTTTTCACCAATTCAAATATAATGTAAACTTCAATTACTAAAGAAAAATTAGGGACATGATAGTGATTTTTATGAAAGTAATGGAATTTTAAGTGTTAATCTTGATATAATTTAACTTAAGGAGCCATTCATATATATATATATATATATATTTTGTGGCAATTGAAAAAAAAAAAAACACAAAACTTACTTTACTTTCATCAACTCCTTAGTCCTTCCTTTCATTTTTTTTTTTTTTAATAAAGGTCTATTTCATCCTTGACTTATTTAGGAAGATAAAAAGATCGGAGTAGACTTTTTGAGCCAATTTAACATTTAAATTTATATAAAATGATTGAAAAGATTCGATTTTACTCTTTAGGCTAATTTAATCCTTGAATTTATTTTGAATTTTATAAATTAATAACTGATTTAATTTAATATGATTGACTTTTTATCTCTCTTTGTCTTACACTAAGAATACTCATATCAAACTTTTTCAACACTTATGAATATAAATTTAAAATTTATAAAAACATCTTATTTTTTGTAATATAATATATTTTAATTTTAATTTATTCAACATGAAAAATCTATAGATTTTATAAGCAATAACCCAGTAATATAGATTAACTTTAAAATGCTTAAATTAATATATATTTATAAACTCAAAACTATCGATCAAGGTAAAGAGAAATATAATATACTTCATATATCATTTTTCTATATTTTATAATTAATTAATTTTTGAATAAATTAGTCAGCTCGATTCCAACTACAGTTTAATAAATGTCTATATAATGAGTTTCACATTCTAAGTAGAATGAAGAATTAGAGGTTAAATTGACTCAAAATGTCAAATATGATTTTTTTTAATCATTTTAAATAAATTTATGGGTTAAATTGACATAAAAAATAAAATTAGTTCTTTTTAATCATTTTATAAAAATTTAAGAGCTAAATCAGCCCAAAAAATCAAATCTGATCTTTTTTTTTATGCCGTTAAACAAGTTCAGGACTATACTTGCCTTTATTCCCTTTGTTTTTGTCAAATACTTTGTGAAAAAACGAAAATATCATCGCTAAGCCTTGTAAAAGTACGAAAATGTCATCCCTAAGCCTTATAAAAAGACGAAAATGTCCTCTTCTCTTTTTCTTTGCCTCTTTGCTAACTCTCCCTTTCTCTCTTTCTCTCTCTTCAATAGCTAACTATGACAGTAACCTTGTAACTTTTTCATCACATGATCGTTTCATCACAATCAAACTCAAAGGAGCGGCCATTCTTTGCTACATGAATCAGAAGCTTACCTCCATGAATAGAACCTTCAGTGATGTTTGATCTCATCATACTCTTAGAAGCAGAATTGACCAACACAGAGTTAAGCCAGTGAATATTTACAAGATAAATTGAAGCTTAAATTCCAAAACAGTCCAATCAAATCCAAAGATATAGTTAAAACAAACTTAATTAAGAATGTGTTCGGCAATAATTTTTTAAATAATTTTTATTTTTTATAATGTTTAGTAATATAATATTTAAACTACCTTTCAGAGAGATTTAACACATAATGTTTAGCTTTTATATTCAACAATAAAATACCTTTACCGATTTTTAATTTCATTTATTGGAATACCACGGGGCATAATACATGGATTGATATTTTTATTTCAAACAAATTAATCAAATTAAAAAGGACATTCTATCTTTCACGCACATTTTATTTCTTCCATGTTGGACTTTCTCTCTCATTCTTTTCTTTCCCTATCTTCTTCCTAGACGTTTGATTCAGACGATTGATGGAGCTTCATGATTGTAGTCACCAACTATAATAGAGGCAGTAAAGATTTGAATCAGTTAACTACTATTAAAATTTTACCAAACAACCAAAATTTCTATTTTGAAGTTTTACGACTACATACGCAAACTTATTTAAAATGGATTTTCTCTAAAGTTATCTGAGGTATTAACCCAGTCGGAAATTAGCCGGTGTAGTGGTTAGAAGACTCGAATTGCCTAACTCATCCTTCAACTCAGTATCTGGTTACTTTGATATGGCTAATTAAGGTTAATTTCAAATTGTAATGTAAAATACATATGTCTTTTTTCATGCAATGGATATTATTGCATTTAAGTAATTGGGATTACAATATGAATCTTCATTATATTACAATGTAAAAAAAAAAAAAAAAATCACCTAAATGCTTCATTATGTTTCGATCTTCATTTTATTAAATGCTTCAAGTTGTAAAATTTAATTGATTAAACACTTACTAAATAGTTAGAAAATATGAAAAATTATTGTTTTTAAAATTGTACTAATAAAATATCAGATTATTATTTTACATTTAAAAACAAAAAATGCTAAAATCTATCGTTACTGGTGTGAAAAGGTACGTCGTGTTATTAAATTTTAAAACTTTATAGAATATAATATATCCCTTGCAAAGTTTGAGATCTCATGAGAAATAAATTTATGTATATAGCGAAATTTTTTTATTCATCATTTAATATAAATGCAATTTTACACTTCTTCACAAAGAAAGAAAGAAAGTATTACATTCATGCATCTAAATTTTTAATTTTCTTAGAAAGATAACAGTCAATATATCAAGTAAACACCAAAATCTTATATTTTCAAGTTACTTTACATTTAATTACAATAATCAAAGGCGTTCTTGAGTGTAACCTTTGACTTTAAGAAAAATTGATTTTTCAAAAAAAAGAAAAATTGACATAAAAAAAAGAAAAATTGCCATTTAATTACTAGGAAAATGTTCATGAGGAGGAAAGAGAAACTTCTCATAAAGGATAAATATTTCCATTAAGTCTAAATAGAAAATAAGATAAATTTTAACATCACATTGCATAAGAAATACTCAACCTTGGATTGGAGTAATGGGTTTACTTTATTTTTGTGTTCGGTAATAGCTTTTTAAATAGTTTATAGTATTTTGACTAGTCAAAATGCCAACTGCTACTTTTTTTAGTATTCGATAACATAATATTTGAATTAGTTTTTAGACATTAAAGTAATATTTTGTAAAATATTAACTCATTTTATTTTTGTGTTCGGTAATAGCTTTTTAAATAGTTTATAGTATTTTGACTAGTCAAAATGCCAACTGCTACTTTTTTTAGTATTCGATAACATAATATTTGAATTAGTTTTTAGACATTAAAGTAATATTTTGTAAAATATTAACTCATGTAATGTTTAACTTTTAGCCTTTTATGAAAAGCTATTAAAACAACTAATAACTAAACGCTACTAAAACAGATAACAGCTACCAAAACAGCTAATTTTATCGAACTTATCCTAAAATTTTAAAGTTCATCTTTTTAAAATCTATTTCCTTTTAACTTAGATTCCATTCTTCTAAGTCCTACTATTCATCAACATTAAAATGGACGCATCAAATGCAAAAAGAGATAAAAAAAAAATTTATTCTTTATTGATTGTATAGATTTAATTGAAATAAAAATATAAATTCTTTTATGTGGTGGCAAATTTAGAAATTTTTCAAGGTCAACATTCAAAGATGAAGGTCCTATTTAGAATTTTGTAATTCTACCTATATTTGGAAGAATTATATATATATTTTTTTGGTTCATTAGAAAGTCAAATAGTCAAATGGGCTATGAATTATAGAATAGGATATTCATTTTTTTAAGGGAAATAATATAATAATAATAATAATGATAAAAATTGATATAGATAAGTATAATATAATAATAATAGAATAATAATAATATAATAATAATAATAAATAATAATAATAATAAAATAAAATAATTATGAGACTTCATAGTTAATAATAATAATAATAATAATAATATGAGACTTCATTAGTCCATTCATTCTAGCCAAATAGAAAAAACAACTTTAGCAATGGAATGAGCAGACTAGTCTACTAACTTATAGATAAAATTTATAATTAAATAGTAAAAATATCCTTCGAAAGGGATTTACAATTGAAGCATACAAAGGAAAACAAAATTTTTGTGTCTTGAGTAAAAATTTGAGATTTGGAACAAATAATAACAAAAGATGTTCAAAATTATTTATCAAATATTTTCTTTTCAAACTTCCATAGATTTTTAAATTCTCATTTGATCATTTAGATCGATGGAATATAAAATTTATAGATCTTATGAGTTTGTCGGTAAAAAAAATTAAGTGGCTCAAACTCCATTATTAACAAAAATGACAAAAATAAGATATCTCACTTCCATAGATTTCTCGCTCTTTTAAAATGGTAGAACTAACGTGATGATGAAATTTGAATAAATAGCAATTTAAAATGATTAGGGATTTGAATTTAAGTATATAAAAATTACACATAATCCCAAATTCCAAACCTTTGATTATTTTTTTTTTAACAATTTCTCCTATTCTTTTTCTTCTCATATTCCTTTCTTGCAATAATGGTGTCTCATTATGATTTTGACACTTAGAAGAAGTGGAAAGATTTACCAAAGACAGAAAGAGACACAAAAAGGAGATCTCTAATACTAATAATTAAGAATATAATGTAAGGATTAGAAAATAATAATTACTTATAAGGGGAAATATAGGCACAAAATTAAGAAAAAGACAGTAATAAGTGGGCATAAAATTTTTCTCTTTTGATCTGTCACCGAAAATCATAGGGAAGGAATAATTCTTTTTAGCATCTGGAGCCAAAAGATGCTCTTCTCTTGTGTCTTTCTATCTCCCTTTTCAGCCTTTTATTTTTTATTTTGTAATGTGCCCACCACACCACCAACTATAAATAAATAGCTAGAACAAAAGTTTTTATCAACAATAATTTTTTAAAACATATATATTAATAAAAATTTTGTTTTCTTACATGTTTATTTAGAAAATATTTACTTGTCCATTAAATTTTATTTATTGCTTTGTATTTTTGTATATATTTAAAATTATAATAATTATGATATGCTAAAATATGAAATTTGTTATTATCATCAAACAATGTTGTTTAATTACTCTGAACCTTATGTATTATTGCAAATTTATCAACCCTTTGAAAGAAGTTGTTTTGCCCCAAATTTCATTAGTTTATTACAATTTTACTTTTATTTAAGATTGACAAAAGAATAATATTTTAGCCTTCATTAGAATAAAATTTTAATATAATGTCGGATGGTGGCGAAGGATTTTCATAGGATAAATTGAAAAATCAGGAGAAAAGTGACTTGTATGCAGTTTGAAGAATAAAAGATATGATGAGAGATAAAAGAAGAGAAGCGAGAGAAATTTAAAAATACATATAAAATAAAATTTATTATTTTAATAAATAATAAAATGTTTATTATCAATTTTTCATTACAACTAAATTATTAAATTTGGTAAAATATATAATATTTAAAATGTTGAGGTAAAGTTGCAATAATATGGAATGGTTGGGATAATTTATTTATTTTTTTTTTTGAAAATGGGATAATTTATTTAATTAACAAAAACAAAAGTAAATAAGTTTTTAACTTGTAGCATGCATAATTTTTCAAAATAATTTTGTCTAACACAAAATGGTAGTAACAATTAACTTTAACTAATGTCTTAATGGGCATTTAATTCATCTTTATCTCATCACTTTATTTCTAGTTATTTAAAAATAATAAATAATTATGAAAAACTATAAAATTTAATTAATATTTTTATATTAATTCTTTTTATCTATTAAAAAATTTTAATTGCTTACAAATATAAGTCATTTTGAAAAATATTAAAAAATAGTTAGTGAACTTTTTTTTTAATTTTAGCTATATATATATTATTAAACAACGTGAGATAAAATATAATTTATTAAATTAATAATTTTTTTATAATTAAAAAATTAATTATTTTCTTAATCATTGTTAAGTTCTGGGTGTCAGGGTATTAATTAATATAAATGTCCTAAGTTTATCCTAAACACAGGATGATTGACAATTCTCTCAACACCCATTTTCTGAGAGCTTAACAGAGCCGGTGAAACACAACCTTATTTACAGAAGAGTGCAATTGGACTCATTCTGTCCATCGTGTAATGCAGCCAGCGAGTCGACGTTACATTGCTTTTTGTACTGTCCCTTTCCTGTGGAGTGTTGGTTTTTGCTCAATGGTATTACATGCGCCATTTTGATACTGTTACGGACTGATATTAGTTCTTTGCGGTTAATTGTGAGAAACAGATATGGGGTGTGTATTTTAGCTTGCTATAGGCCATATGGTATCAAAAGGAATAAGATTGTATTGGAGTCACGGTTCCTTATTCCACAGGACTGCGTGTTATGTGGATAGCAGGTGGTTCACGACTGGTCTGTGGCTCAAGCTTCGAAAGCGCCACGGTTTAACCTTTTTCCATTGCAGTGGCGACCTCCTCCTCATGGTGTTTTGAAATGCAATGTTGACGGTGCATTTCCAGCAGCATGAGGTAGATCGAGAGTGGCTTGGATTTTACGTGATTCTCTTGGTCATCATACTCAGAGGGGGAGATTATCGGTGGTGCATGGTATTTTTAATTCTTTGATAGCCAAGGCAATAGGTATAACCGTATAAAGGAAGCTCTGACTTGGATGAAGTTGAAATTAGTAGCATGTACGGCGGTGGTAGACACTGACTCTATGCAGGTGATCCAGGCTTTGAAGAGTGCTAAGAAGGATAACTCTTACTCTGGAACTGTTATTTCACATCGTAAAACTCTAGCTAAAGGGTTTACATCTATTTCTTTTAGTTGCATTAAAAGGTCGACCAATGAGTGTGCTCATATACTTCCTCGAGCTTATGTTTTTGAGTCTGGCTTCTTTTGAGTGGGATGTGACTCCACCAAATCTCATTTTGGATGTATTAGATCTTGATTCTCTTAATATATAAGCAATTTGAATTAAAAAAGAAAAACTAAAATAAAAATGTCTTTAATATTATCACAAATATTGAAACATTTCAATTTTTTAATAATTAATGAAATTAAAAATATTATTTTTAAAGTAATAATAATTTTAAAATTATTTATTTTCTCAATGCTTTTCAATTTTTTTATTTATTAGTACGCTCAATACAAAATAACACGATTATGGGCTACACAATCAAATGTATTCCTTCCTAGACTCATTATAATAGTAAAATTCTCATGATGCAGAGAACTCGAATTCAAGATCTCTCACTATTTATACTATTAAAAAAAAAAAAAAGCTAACTATAATGCTCCACAAATTTTAAGTTTTAAAATTTTTAGTATTTTATCTTGATGTATTATTAAGTTATTTACTTTGTACCATCACATAAATTATGAAATTTTAACCGCATTAGAATTCAATTAGTACATGCAAATGAGATTTTGAAATGATTAATAAAAGAAATAATAACTTTACAGACTGTTAGTTGAATTTCTAAAATTAATAATAAAATTATACACTTTATGAAATGCGCTGCCAGCACATCAATGACCAGTATAAATACAGTAAAAATGCAAATAAGTCACCATTTAATAGGAAAATTTGGGAATCAATATCTAATGTCTGACAAAGATAATGAATAATTGATTATCTTATGAAAATATTATTTTATTTTCCTCTGCGAATCAATCAATGTTTTCCTATTAACTATTTATAAATACAAAATAATTTCTTTTCTTCTTGCCATCAAACTCCATTACACAATCTAAATTAAAGATGACTCAGATTGTGTATTTTTGAACATTTAATATTTTTGTGGTTATGAAGACAAAATTGATGACTTTATGGCTTAGTTATGATTTACCAAAATTGATGGGAATTGGATTTAATATATATATATATATATATATATATATATATATATATATATATATATATTATAATTAAGACAAATTAATTTTAATTATTATAATTAAGACAAATTAATTTTATTATATATAATTAAGACAAATTTCAAATTAATTATTTCCTCGATCCATAGTTCCTTACCCATAGTCACAAAGTAGTGGGACCCACTTTTTACAAACAGACAAGACAAGCACAATAACAACCCGCCCTCTTTATTTTAGTAGCCTCGTTTTGAGAATCTTCCTACGAGTTGCTCTTGCCACCATTGTCCATCGGCGATTTACTTCTTTAAAACTTTCAAACTCGCCGATTTTTTACATCTCCTTCGGTCAACTTTTCCCTGCTACGCTCCTCTCCCTACGCGCCTCTTTGGCCTTTTCTTTTAAGACATCCTTGTCATTGTCATTATTTTCCATGTCCATTTAAGGTGTGAAACGACAGCGGAACGCGTGATTTCACGCGTCAGTTGAACTCTTTCTTGCCTTTTTCACACCGCCTTGAACGCCAGCCTTTAAGAATCATTTTCTCTTGTTATTTTCTCACTTGGAGACTTTTTCTTCTCTCTTACTTCTTCTCCATCTCTCTGGTTATCAGATCTGAAGCTTCTCTCCGTCATGTCTACAACGACGTCGTATTGGTGTTACAGATGCACACGCTTTGTCACCGTTTTGGTCTCTGAAGAGACTAACGACGTTACCTGTCCTCACTGCGACGGTGGATTTATCGAAGAGATCGGAACCAATACACAATCGGAAAATCCTCAACGACGATCTATGTACATGTTATCGGAAAACAACGGTAGAAATCGTCAGGACTCCGATCGGATTCCGACCTTGAGATTCCGTCGAAACCGCCGCAACGCCGGAGATCGTTCTCCGTTTAATCCAGTTATTGTTCTCCGTGGAACCGCTCCCGAGGAAAACGAAGAAGGAAGCAGCTACGAGTTTTACTACGATGATGGTACCGGGTCGGGCCTAAGGCCCGTTCCGGCTAGCATGTCTGAGTTCTTGATGGGATCCGGATTTGACCGGTTACTGGAGCAGTTGGCACAGATTGAAGTGAATGGTTTTGGGCGGGTAGGAAATCCGCCGGCGTCGAAAGCGGTGGTGGAGTCGATGCCGACGGTCGAAATAACAGAAACTCATATAATAGCGGAGTCTTACTGCGCTGTGTGTAAGGAAGCGTTCGAGTTGGGCGATGAAGCGCGTGAGATGCCATGTAAACATATCTACCATACAGATTGTATTCTTCCTTGGCTTGCAATGAGAAATTCGTGTCCTGTTTGCCGCCACGAGTTACCGGCGGATCAACAAGAAACCGAGAATTCGGAAGAATCTGAAGAGATTGTGGGTTTAACTATATGGAGGCTACCAGGCGGTGGATTTGCAGTAGGGAGATTTAATGGAGGAAGAAGAGGAGGAGCAGGGGGGGAAAGAGAGTTTCCTGGTGTTTTTACAGAAATGGATGGTGGGTTTAGTGGAAGCGGTGGCACTCCCAGACGGGTTTCATGGGTGAGTAGAACAAGTAGACGGCGGGAGAGCGGTGGCGGTGGCGTTAGAAGGGTATTTCGTGGGTTGGTTTCGTTTTTGAGGAGGATTAGGTCCAATTCTTCTTCTTCTACTAGTTCTACTTCAAATTTGCATAATGATAATGAATCCGGTTCAATCAGTAGAAGTTCAAGCCATTCAAGTTCTGGGTTTGGTAGATATGTAAGCAGAAGAAGGAGAGGATTGGATTTGGAAGTTGAAAATGGGACTGATAGGTGGTGATTGTACTGAAAAGGTTGGTTTTTTTTTTCTTTATTTTTTTTTAAATTCTAAATGATGTATATAGAATTAAATTAAACAGGTAAAATTTTGAATTGAATTTTAATCCTTGTCTCGTTCTTTTCCCTAATGGAGGCTTGCCAACAAGAATCTTTGTAATATTTATCAAATGGGGCACACAAAAAGAAAACATTGCTTGCCTCCTCTTATGGCAAAATTTTGTTGGATGGGAAAAGATTAGGAGAATGTTCAAATGAAGAAGAAAAGAAAAAGAATATCTGTAAGCTTAATTATTTTTCTTTTTTTGAAATTCATTCTATGAGAATTGTTGGTTTCTTTGATAAAAAGTTACATGCTTTCATTTTAATTGAAAGATTCAGAAATATCAACATTCAGCTTGTTGTTTTTCATTTTCACTAAATGTGAAATTAAAGTTCATATGGTGATCTGCTAGTTTAATGCTGATGATGATGAGATGTCTGATCTATTTTTGTTGAGAAAATGATTTGCTCCTGGAATTGTGGCCATTTTTAGCTCAAAAAGCACCAGGCCACTAATTTTATCATGTGCCTAGTTTTAAGAGCTCCTTTTACTTTTCTTTTTCCCCTTTTCTCATTATAGTTGGTGAACATAGCGTTGCTTTGGAGCTCAGCAGTGAAAACCCATCAACCAAAACCATGTAGCTGTTTTTGCATAACAGTAAAATCAGCTGGACAAATAATCTTGTTGCTGAATTATTACTAGTAGTTCTAACCCTAATTGATGCTTATAATATCCAAATCTCTCTCTCTCTGTCTCTCTCTCTCTGTGTATATACTCTCTCTCTCTGTCCTCTCTCTTCTGTGTATAATATATTATATATATATATATATATTAAATATATATATATAAATTTTAATAATCATAAAGCTAAATTAAGATGTGGAGGTAGGGATTGCTGGGATTGCAGGCCAACCCAGTCCTTCCATGAGTGGAAATGGCTCATAGTTTCATATTCTTTGACTTTTCCATTCAAAGCCAGCTAATGTGGGGTTTGATTTTTCAACTCATTTCTAGTTGTGAGATTGATATACATTAGCAATAGATAAATTATTAATATTATCATTAGTGGATCCAAGTTGGATTTGAGAACATGCCTAAATCCGGTCTATAGTCCATGGGTATAGACCATGGATGGACTCACAAGTCCTTGTTCGGAACAGTTTTCATAATGTTTATAGGTTTAACATAATAACATTTAAAGGTTGAAAGGATTTTTTATAACATTATAAAGTTTGGCTTTTAATTAATATTTTCTTTTTTTATAATCATACTCATTTTTTTCTCCAAATTCAGATAATTAAATAATTAATATTATTTTTTTATCATTTTAAATTAAACAGCTAATTTATTGAATATTTCTAATTTAAATGCTATATAAACATCTACTAGCTACCAGTTACTTCCTACTAAAATAACTAGCATTTACCGGCTAATATCGCTAAACAAACCTAAATGAGTGTAAATAATTCAATTTCTTGGGCAGGAAATAGTTGGAATACTCCTTTAAGGGAAAGGGAAATAATAGAGTTTGATGTTCAAGTATATATACAGGCAAAATCCACATTAGGCCGACCGTCATATGAATGTTCACGTCTCCTGTCATTTTTACCACTTCTGCAATTTCTTCTGCCTGTGAAAATCTTTTCTCATATTTCAAAACTACCCATTTGGCAATTACCAAACGTTTCAGTAAAGCAGAGCTGTCTGTTAGGACAGCTGCCAAATAAACCTGTCCAGCCTACCAGAAAGATCACTTCTCCTTCCTTCATAACTTAATAATAACCAATAAAAAGTTAGATGCCCTTCTACTTGTACATGCATCATTTTGGCCACATTTGACTGTGCACACAGCCTATTGGACAGGCCAGGACCTAAATGACTGAAATCCCAGATTGAGAACAAAGAAACTCGACCCTACCTCTTTCAGCCAAGCCTGGACTGATCATTGGGGCTTAAATTTATATTCAAATATTATTTAATTATAAAAGCATTGCTTACCTATATAATGATCCCAACCTTTACCTAGGCATGGCCGGTTCAGTGAACCGCCGGTTCGAGATGTTTAAAATTTTGAACCGGAACCGACCCTTGAACCTCCGGTTCCGGTTCCGGCACGGCCGGGTTCCGGTTCCGGCACGGTTCAGTCACGGTTTCGCAACCGACGGTTCAAATTACGCGTTCGATTTCGGTTCCGACATTAACGCAAATTTTTAAAAAAAATTATAAAATTTTTGATTCCGAATTCATGAATAAATAATAATTTTTAAAATGTTAAATTTTATTAACTAAAAATGATTATTATAAATTTTTAAAAGAAAACAATCTATTAACAACTTAGAACTATTATTACATTAAATTTTCAAAAATTTGCCAATTTACTAATATAAAACTATAAATGAATATAAAATTAATGGAATGAGGTTGGAAATTATTATTTCAAATAACTAAGAAATTATTTAAAAAATCAAATGAAAGTAAAATTTATGATGGAAAAATTGAGATTTAAGAGATAAGAATTTGGAATTGGATTAAGAAAAATAAAATAAATATTAGATAATTCTCCAACCATTAAGGAAAATTAAAGCAATAGAAAAAATAATGAAGTATGAAATTTGAGAGAATTTTGATTGAGAATAAGAGAAGAGTTAGATATAATTGATTGTAAATAAAAAATTATCACCATCCATATTTATATACATGTGTCTCATTTTAGTTTTCCAATTGTCTCTTATATAATTTAGTAAATGACAGTAAATAAATAAATAAATTAATTAAAGAATAAAATTTATTTACCAAAAAAATATAAAACACCTATCAATATCAAAAACTATTCCGTTACACGTCTTTTTTTGTAGCACTTGAAAGTATTTTTTTTTATATAATCAACTATTTCTATGTTAACCATTTTTTATTAAATTAAGTCAAAAAATGTGTATTTTTCACAATTTTTTAATAACTCATATCCATTTGAAACGACCCGAAAATTTATTTCGTAGAATTTTTCATTTTAAAAACCAAAATTTTTTATTTCAACCGCAAGAGATTATACCAGTAGTATTTTATTTATTGTAAACTGGACGCCGTAAACCAATTCGATTTTTGAAAACTCAACCGCCGAAAAAAACTCAAAAAGACCAAGCAAATTGAGCCAAATCATTAAATTAGAAAACCGGTTCGAATTCGAACCGGAATGGTCTAGAAGCCAAAGATTTTTCTTTCTCTTTTCTTTTTCTTTCCTTTTTCCTTTTTTTCTTTTTTTTTTTTCTTTTCTCTTTCTTCTTCCTTGCGTCCAGCGCCCATCACGCGACCTGTCGCTCCTCTTCCTCTCTCTTTTTCCGACCACAGAACCAACGCCTCCTCGCCGTCGACTCCGACTCCTCGCCGCAGCAGCCCGCCTTCCTCCCCTTCTCTTCGTTTCTGTTTCTAGTGAGCGCAAGAGTCACAGCGAAGCTGGAACCTCAACGCGATCGAGACAGTCGCGTCTCCGTCGTTCCCTCCGAGCAGCTCCGGCGATGATCTCCGACGAGGTAAGTTGATTGCCCTCCCATTTCACTCCTTTAGAAATCATTTTGTATAGATTAGGCGATAAAGATTTATCGCAGGAATTGATCAAAATGGGACTTAGGGATTTAAGAATAAAAATTGGGATTTTTGTTAGATATTGACAGAATTTGTAGTAGTTGGCTATAGAAATGAGTTCTCTATATGAAATTTGCTGCGTCTTGGCGTAAGAATTACAAGATTTAGGAACCAAGGTACCTCCGGCCACCATAGACGACGGCGACAGCGGTGGATTCGGTGACCGGAATTCCTCATAGACAGTATAGTCCAATTTTTACATAGAATCTAGTTTTGCAATTAGTTTTGCACTAGACAACAGAAATCGAAAATTAAGCTTCTAAGCCGTAAATATCACAGAAAGTTAAATTAAGGAGGGGTTGGTAGAAATGCAGTAGCTAAGTTATTGGGTATTCTAATCGCATGAATAAATTGGTTGTTAGCTTATTTTGTTAGCATGACTTGAGATTAAATCGAAGTTATACTTGGCTTATTAAAGGAAAATCTAGGATTTAGTGTTGTATATAATTGGTTATGGGTCATGAAATATAAATAGGTGCAGTCAAACAAACCATTTATTTGATTGTGATTAAATTTGAAAGGTGAAAATCAATAATGGGTATGTATATAAATAAGACTTATTGATTCAATTAAAGAAATTATTTTGTTTTTACTTATTAAGTAATTCATAGTAAATTATGGATTCAAGATATTGATTTGATAATTACTGTATAACGAAGAATGGTGGGTTGATAATGATAGGAGGATGGGGATTTTATTTAAAGTTCTTTGCCTGGTGGATGGGCTGCCGATTGTTTTACGGTAATTTAAACTAGATGTTGAGTATGATTAAATATAAATAGGTGCAGTCAAACAAACCATTTATTTGATTGTGATTAAATTTGAAAGGTGAAAATCAATGATGGGTATGCATATAAATAAGACTTATTGTTTCAATTTAAGAAATTATTTTGTTTTTACTTATTAAGTAATTCATAGTAAATTATGGATTCAAGATATTGATTTTATAATTACTGTACAACGAAGAATGGTGGGTTGATAATGATAGGAGGATGGGGATTTTATTTAAAGTTCTTTGCCTGGTGGATGGGCTGCCGATCATTTTACGGTAATTTAAACTAGATGTTGAGTAGATATGATTAAGGAGAGATGCTGTCGGTGTTCGGCGGAATAATTTAAAGGCTAATAGGCCCAAGTGGTACTATTAGAATCATTCAGATGCACTAAATTAGAGGTTTATTAATAGGAATACGGGTTACTATTGAATTAATTCATATGGGTGCAAATAAGTGTAATACAAAATTTAGTAAAATGCTAATATTAAATTACTAAGATAAGATGATATTATTCTACCTAATAAATCAATAAGATTATAAGTTAAGAATTCAAAACTTGATTTGAGAAATCTTAAACACATACTTCAACTGGGAAAATACGACAATTGCATTTAAGATAGTATACCATTTGTTTGAACTTGGATAGTTTTAAGCTGGTCCTTTTAAAGTTTCAATTATTCACCGCAGTAGCCATTGTTAAGTAGAGCATAAAATGTTAATATCTGTAATTGTGTTCTTAAATATGTAATATAGATATATATTCATTTATTTGTCAATTAGCTAAAGAAGCTGATTATATTTATGTGAAGCAAAGAATGTTCAGTAATATTATTGGAACACGTTTGAAGGTTATTATACGTTGTGAATTAATAGTTGAATGTTGACATTATTATTTGGATGGAGGAAGGAAAATTTAACTGTTTGATCGCCCGACGGATGGGCTGTATGCATTGAATGATTAATATATATATTATTGTGATATTTGAGTAGGTAAATAGCCCAATTTTTAGGGGAGGTGTTGCCGAAATTTCGATAGAACTTAGACTAGTTTTAGTTAACAATATAAAGTAATAAGTTTATTTAGAATAATTCTATAACTTAATACATAGTAAATAAAGTATTCTAATTATTTTACTATCATCACTATTTACTTTATATTGTTAACTATTATTATTCATTAATAAACTCACATCTCTTTTGTTCAAATCTTTCAGGAAGTAGCATTTTCTAAATCCTAGCTATAACTCTGCTCTTTGCCCTTAAAAAAGAAATTCGCTAATTTTAGTATTGATCAATTAAATAGATAAATGTCCGAAGACTTATATGTATACATCCGTCAGTAAACTCCGCAGTTATAGGCTTGTGCTTTGTTTGTGTGGAATTGGGATGAAGTGGGTCACCATGGGTTTGTGAGGACGGTCGATAAAGCATGGATCCTAATTATGATGAATTATGAAATTGAACCGTCGGCCGGGAAAGTGGGAGATCGGCGCCCCCGTGTGCACCTACCGTACCGTTATCGTAAATCACAGGTTGGTCTCTTTATTGGGCGCACCTGATAATCTAGATTAGATCGCAGCCCGCAGGATGGCCTCCTGTTGTGAGCGCCTGATGATCTAGATTTGATGGAGACGACCGGGTTACCTCCTGTTGCTATGGAAAAGAAAAGAGAGAATGGAAAAACAATGAAATATGAAGGGCCTGTCAAGTGAGATTAGACTCGGTCGGCCAGTATGGGGGATCGGCTCCCTGGTGCACACCACGTTGTGAAGAGGAATGAGCCATGTGGGAGGACGGCTCCATCGGGGGTTTTCGGTGACTCCACTGACTAATTTCCCCCACGTGATGTGAATTATATGAAGCTGTTAATAATTGTTGAGTGTGGTGATATGCCATTTGTGTGGACTGGATTGTGTGAGCATATACTAGTCGGATGACTAGGTTTGATATATTTATACAATCGTTGTGACTGCGTGTGTTGTGCAATCATTTATTATTCATTATAACTCACATTCCTTAGTTTAAATAAATCTTTCAGGAAGTAGAATTTTCTAAAATCCCAGCTATAAACTCTGCTCTTCACGTTAAAAGAAATTCGCTAATTTTTCGTAATTGATCACATTAATAGATAAATGTCCGAGACTTAATATGTAATACATCGTCGTAAACTCCGCAGTTATAGAACTTGTCATACTTTTAAGTTGTGTATTATTCTAGATGGAATAAATTCTGTGAGCCTGTATATACTATAGTGGTAATTTGTAAGCAGGGAAATGTAAATGTTTAAAAATTATATTGAAGATAGCAAATTATGTAGTGTTTCAGGCTTTACTACGGCCTCGGGGCCTTAAGCTTACCTGGGGCCCCTAAGTGCCCCAGGTCGGCCCATGGAAAGGGTCGTTGACACCAATTTTAACGTTCCTCTTCACCATAAATCAAATCAACTTACAATCAATCAATTGATATAAAAATTTTTTTATAAAAATTTTAAGCTAACAATTTTTTTGTGTATCCGGTTTCCGAACCGGACCAAGAACCCAGCCGATTCCGGCCGCCGGTTCCGGTTCATATTTTAACATCCACATAAACCTTAACCGGCCCTTGAACCGCCGGTTCCGGTTCAAAATTATGAACAGCCGGTTTCGGTCCGATTTCAATTCGTCTACAGTACGATTTGGTTCCGGTTCGAACCGAACCGGTGGCCATGCCTACCTTTACCCACTTTTGAGGCCAGCTTCCATTGAGTTGAAGATAAGTACATGAAAAAAAGGGTTGTTTAATTTGAGAGCCACTATTCATTTATACGGTTGATCTTATTTTAGTTCAATTTTACAAGTTCGAAATTCAAGTAGAAGAAATCACAAGTTATACGGAAAGATACGTATCGACCCTCAGACCTTTTGATCTCAGCGCCTCCACCTTAACTGTTAGAGTGAGGCTTCATTGGTTTCCGAGAGATGAAGAGCAATAAGGAGTCGACTGTCCATAGCAGCAAACAAATAAAAATTAACTGTAAAAATGGTGGCGTAAAATATTTTTGAAATACCAATAAAGTGTTGGTTAACCTTTGCGTGTGAAACAGGAACTAGAGCTAATCAGCAAGTTAAACTACTCCTGCTGTAAATTAGTTATAAGCAACGTCAAGTATAAAGATCATTATGCATACAATGTCATAGATGGTGTTACATAACTAGCATGTTATTTATTTTTTTTTTTTTTAAATTTTATTCAGATGCTTTATTTGTTTATTACATTTAAAACAAACTATTATACAAAAATATACTACCAAATACAATCAATTAAAAAAATATATACCAGAATTTTTCATATTTTTCATCGACCTACCATCTAACAAAACACATTCCCATATTCACATCAACAAAACACATTCCCATATTTACATCAAGCTTGAACCTAAATCGCAACTAGCAGGGGAAGAAAAAAGAATACTGTGAGTCCTGGATTTCAAGAACTAGCTCTCAATTTCAGTAAAAATGTATTTGAAGAGTCTATATTTTGCTAATAATAATGCGAAAAAAAGATTAGAACAGCAAATCCCAACTTAAGAAATTCGTGTTTTTACATACTGATTTAAACATCTCTGGCCAAACCAGAAAGATCAAGGCCGCTAGAGTCATGCTCCCTTTGTTTGGAAGAGGATTCTCTTCGAGTATAATCTTCAATAGGAATCCCCTGCCTCATAGATGGTGAGGACGATGGATTCTCCTTGTAAAAATCCCCAAAAGTATCCGAGAATATACTCCTCATCTGATTAGCTGCTTCAAAGAAACGGTTGATTTCACCATGGAAATGACGTTCAAGACCTTCAATATCACTTCGAAGCCCTGGGAATCCAAATGGAGAGTCATCCAATTTGCCCACTGTGGAAGAGCCTTTAACCACCAGGTCTGTAACATCATCTTCAGTGTACTCCTTGTTTGATTTCAGCACTTCAACTGGCCTAATTGAAGCAAATGATAAACAATGACAAAATGAATACATAGAAGTAAAATACGCTTCAACTATAATCAAAGTAAATCAATTAAATATTGAATTATTAAATCTTTCAACTTCATTATAGAAGCTGCAATTACCTTCGGATCCATTTGGATACAAAAGCATTTGAAACAAATGGGTATTTCAATTTGACACTGTGTTGAATACTTATGAATTTTCACCTAAAACACAAGTCGAAAGCAAAACTCAACTGTCCCAATATGCCCTTAGAAAATTCCAACCAAACTTACTTTAACCACTCATTTCAAGCTTTTAGCATCCTCCAAAATATTCCCTACAGCAAGAATTAACTCAATTCAACAAAGCAAAGCCCTAATCATTAGAAGCCTAATGTCACATGTCTATCATAAGGATTAGTTCCATACCAAAAAATCACTTCTAACAAAATGCTACACATACTTTCACACAAATGCATCTTGAATTAACCACCCCCCCCCCCCCCCCCCCCGTCTATCACTAGGATTAGTTTCCATACCAAAAATCACTCTAACAATGCTCACATACTTTCACACAAATGCATCTTGGAATTAACCACCCCCCGCCCCCCCCCCCCTTCCATCTTGTCTCCCCCTTCCCATCTTGTCTTATCACTTGCAGCAATACCTTTTCTTTCATAGGGAAAAACATCCAGAACCCAAAGCCTTTTAACACATAAATATCAAAAGATGAAACCTTAGATGAATGGTGAACCCAAATAAAGCGGTTCACATTACACCTAACTAGAGATAAGATAATTGGTTTGACCTCATAGGCAACCAGAAGTTCAACATCTACCCTAAATTCAATGGAGATATGAAAGCTATTAAAAATTTAAAACCCAGGAACATGGGGCAAAGAATGATGCACTAAACATTTGAAAAAAAAAAAAAAAAACACTAATTTCATTTCTTGGAAATCCTGATCCTCTTTTTTCAAATTATAATTAATTACCTAATTAGCTGCTCAATAATTAAAATCGCATACTTAATTAAGGAATAAAAACCTAGAAGAGAATTAGATGCTCAATTGAAGCGAAAATTGGAAAAGGAGAATGGAGAGAAACTGAGATAGAGCGAACTTACTCTCCAAGGCATTCTCGAAGAATCTCTTCAGTTTTCTCGCACTTTCTAACGAATTTTCCAGGCTCCACCTCCTCCGTCTTGCACTGCGATTTCACCACCTTTCTGGTGGAGCATACCTTATCAGAAGCCGACGAAGAAGAATCATGGCGAGACGGCGAATTGAGCTCATCTGGCTCGGAGTCTCTCCAAACCCACCCCATTTTCCTTCTACTCTGCTTCTGGCGAAATCCAGAATCTATAAATAAATAGTCTATTTTTCTTGATTGAGCGCTACGTTTGCTTTGCGCTGTGACTTATATACACTACAGGCGGACACCGGAGTCGCACGGCGGGCTCGTGTGCCCCAAAAAAATTAAACGACAAGCAAAAGCTGTCGTCTCGGGAGCTTTTAGAATACCACGAGAGAAATAAGCGGTGTTTGGAAGTATAGAATGTGAAGCCCATGAAATGTAAAATTTATGGATACATGAAAATTCATAAAATTCTCAAATTTTATTATTTGCTTGAAAAATAAAATAAATGGATTTCTTTTTTATTTTGAAATAAAATTAAATAATTTAAAGCCTATCATTAATATAAAATAATGGAAACTGAATCGTGCTTCTGATTTAGGACTTCTCTATAAAATATTAGTAGTTTCATGATTGAATTTACCAATTTCATAGATTTGTGACATCTTTTTTTCAACCAATCAAAGGCATCCGGTAAATTTTACCATGCAACATTTAAATTCAATCACTCATATCCTATTACTCTAAATGGCTTCTAAAAAAATTTTATACGTACATAATTTTTTTTATTAATAATATACTTTAAACCATTTAACTTTATTTTGAAAAATATTAATAATTAATAATATAATTTAAACCTAAACCTCCCATTGATATTGATGTTAAAAAAATTGTTAATGAAAAGATAAACTTATTAATAATAGTCTTGAAACCGCACGATGAGCGTGTTGTATAATTTTCTATTTTTTAATTAAATTAAATTAAATTAAATTAAATTTTCAAGAAAATTATTTTAATTTATATTTGTGTTGCTTTAATTTAAACAATTTACTTATGTATTTTTTATTAGATGATTCAAGGTAAAATTATAGATTCTTTTTTAAATTTTCAAATATTGAACTGAAATACTAATTAGCACAGTTAAATTATTGTAAGCAAATTGTTGTTATTCAATTGATATATTTAGTTAATTATTTTTTTTTCTTTGAAATTCTCATTTATTCAAATTAAATGAAGTATAAGAATATTTAATTTTAATGAAATAAATTTTAGTGAATTGAAATTAATATTTTAATTTCATTTGTTAATCTAATTATATTATTTAATTATAACTTAATTTTTATTAACTATGACTCTATTATAAATCATTAGTTTTTTTTCTATAGAATAAAATTATTTAATAATAAAACTTTAATAAGTTTATTATATATTAATTATAATAAACTCATAGTTTAATTGTAACCTTCATTATTTAATAAAGAACATTTAATTTGTTATTTAAATTAAACGATAATTAATAATGAAAAATAAAAATGCCCATGTCATCACGTTCATATTCTCACATGTCGCCACATTACATATATTTGCCTTAAAATTTACATTACTATCGTCCACCTGTCGTTGCTATGGATAATAATATAAATCTTTCATGAATTATAAAATATTTACGTTTTTAATCCCTCTATAATAAATTATGCTACTAAAATTCAATAATTTGTTATAGGTAACTATAAAATCTTAAATTTGGAAATTTAAGTATGAACAAAATTTTTTTACTTTGGATTTCAATATAATATAAAATTTTTTTACGTTGGATCAAGGTATAATATTATTGAGTTTAACGGAAATTAAAGGATTTACTAAGATTTTCATAGAATTCCACTGGAAGTTCTACAGTAGAGTTTTATTGGGAATTGGTTAAGATTTTTTTATGATTTTGCATGGATCGCAAATTGATTTATATATCAATCAAATTATATTCAGGACCTAATTTAAACAAATTAAAAGGTTTTTAGATGTCAAATGAAAAATTGAAAAATAATGAGAAGACGTAAGAGTAAATTTGCATTTTAATTCTTCTCCAAAATCATTTATTTTTCGTTTCGATTAAAAACTATATCAACCCACCGCACAGTGAAAGGGCTACAATGGCCAGGTCCGTCGGCGTTTCCATCTTCACCCTTTAACCGCATATATTAAATGGAGTCCGGTAGTGGGGTACCTATCATTATTAGTAAAAAATGCTATTTTAAATTAAAGTTTTGAATATTGGATAGTTAAGATACCCTACTTGTCTAAGAGCTACTTTCAACGGGTTTTTGCTGGACGATACAGATAGTAATATTTAACGAGTTTAAAATATGAATACTTAATATGTATTTAAGCGAGTTTAGAATTGGTTTACATTCTAAAATTTTAAATGGATACCTATATAGGTGGTTTCAAATTCATAGGTAACTCACTCCCTTTTTTTGTTTCTATTATAGCGGGGTGTATTGATTTAAAGTCCATTAGAGCTTAAAAGATTTTGAAATTCTTCTGGAGTTGAATGATGGATTTTGTGAATGTTCTTTTATTCATACATAACATTCTAAATTCCACGAAATCAATAATTTTATAGAATCCTTTCCACGTTCAGTAATGTTTTTGAATACTATGCCAATTTATTATCCACGTTTTTGTCACGCCGTTTTCTTTATGGCCGGATTAGGCAATTTTAGCGTCCAAGGTAACTTAAGGGCCCCGAGGCCATTTAATCGGCGCTAAACTAAATCTTTAACTATTCAATGTCTGTTTTCAAGCATCAGCCCATTTTGTCCCCCAATTGGGGGGGGCATTTTTATTTTTTACAATCTCACTTTCTCTAATTCTTGGCCTAAATTTAACACCTTAAACAATTTATAGCTCGGGCCCAAAACCTAAAAAATATACAACTTAATATGGAATAACATATTCAAACATTTTCATAAATGATTAATTGAAATCCTCTGTAAGTTTATTGATTTTATTCTACAAACTGCGTGAGCTCAATATTAACAGAACATTTTAGATTTTGTCAACTCACAATTTACACTAATATTGCATTAAATATTTTTCTGTTCTTAACTTTGCGGTTTGGAAGGAGGAAAAGCTATAACTGGCGGGTTTTAGAAACATCTCCTTCTGAAAAGTTAAACAAGACCATGTGAGTTTATTAACCTAAATAATAATTATGCACACCACATGCAATTCACGCAGGATGTGTAAATAATATCAATCTGTTCATCCAACTAGCCTAAATGGCATATGCACCGCGGTCACGCACGTGGCACAACACAGCAGTCACAAATATTAACATATCTTCACATACACAATCACGTGAAATTGATATGTTGGCGTCACCGGAAATCCCGATGAGCCATCTCCACAATGACTCATTCCTCTCGTTAACGTGTTGCACTAGCGGAGCGCATCCCCATATCATGCTCGATTGGTTTAATTCCTCACTCTTCCAGCCCTTCTCATTGTTTTTTCTTTCTCGTTTTTTCTTTTCTATCCAACATTAGGCCACTCTGTGGTTTTTCATATGCATCCATTCATATTATCAAGATGCACACGGAAGCGCGATCTCCCAACTGGCCGGACGCGTTCCAAATGTCCATATTTTCAATCATTTTCAAGACCGTCCTTACAAAAACTTTCACGTGACCACTTCATCTCCCATCACACCAAACATGCATAACATTAATCACAACCCCATTAATCAAGCACCGGCAATTAAAATGAAGCATAACAAACAATTAATATCATGATGGCCATTGCAGTCATATTCCAATTTCAATTAATACAGGACCACTAATTTAACAACATATTTTTAATAATTGATCCTTGAAATAAAAATAAATAATATATATAATAATAATAAAATAATTAAAGAACTTTATTTTTTATTATATCAAGTTAAAGAAATTAAACTCTATTAACGCTATTAACTTAAATTATTAAATTATGGACTAGTTTAGATTCTATCGAAATTTCTGCTTAGAACCTTCCCTAAAATTTGACTAAACCACATATTCTCAAAGCTCATTCATCGGGCAATCAATCAGACTAAATTCCCATTCGTACATAACCTATATTCATCAATCATATCCCCATCCGAATGTGACATCCTCCCGAGTGAGTCTTTGCTGGGTCGAGGTCTTGGCATTGAGTTTGAGTCGGTTTGAACCCAAACGTGGTTTGGGCGTAGAAGAGATTAGAGTGGACTTATTTGCATATAAAGGTGCTAGGATTGTTTGCAATTAAAATATACAAGCTTGTGTATTAAGTTGTAGCCTTTGTTACACTTGACGGTACCAATTGGGAGGTTTTACACAGCCAGTTATTTTTCTCTTACGAGACTACCGCTTCTTATCCAACTCCTTTCCCCATTTTTTTCCCGTTTTCTCCTTTCTCTTCTTTACTTGTCCCGCCCATTTTTCTTTCAATTGTCAACATAGTTAAGCTATTAAGTTCAAGCTTCAAGTAAAGTAGACATTACTTGCAGCTTTTCGGTTAATTCAGTCTCATACTTGAGTTATTTGGTACGATAAGTTGTAAGAATTTTGATGTTGTATAGCGAGGCAAGGGAGTTCGAAGAGTGTAGAGAAGAGAAAGCATTAGACAGAAGGCTCACGCGTTTTTTGGAGTAAAAGGTTTGATATCCTCTTGATTTTTATCATCGTTCTTTGCATGAGAATTTGTGAGTGCTGTTGCTATTTGAGACACAATATATTGTCTTTCATGTTGGAGAATGGTAGTGCGTGAGAAAACAGGGGTAGGTATGGAGTTTATGTGTTACGAAACCAGCGGGAGATTTCTCCTTGCTTTGACACCCCATTAAGAGCGCGATTAGGAGTGTCATAGAGAGTTATTTTGTTCCTCTATGTGTTATCTTTGCATGGGTTTTTTGATCACCCAATTGGATTGTATATTTGAGGATCTGACAAAAGAGCGCAGACTGCGGCCAGGCTGGAAACGCGTCGCGACCTGGCAACTGCGCTAGGCTGGCAGCACGTCGCCACGCGCTCGCGACTTCTGCACTACGCTGCGCGCCGCGACTATCCCACTTCAACTCACTGACTCTCATTTTGCTCTTCTCGCGCTCGCGGACTTGCAAGACGCGATCGCGCGAAGTTGGCCCTCATGGCCTGGACAGCGCTCGCGACTTGCACTGCGCGCGTCGCGTAGTTGGCATGGAAAAAACTCTCTGACTTCTCAATGGCATATTACGCGTCCGCGGACTCCTCAAGGTGCGCCGCTCGCGTTAGTTGGCCATGAAAACTTCACTGTCTTCTATTTGGCACACTACCCGCGCCTCGCGACTTTCAAGTACCGCGATCAGCGCGACTTGTGGCCTGACTAACACACTGTCTCTTATT